AGGATCAATTTATATCCTGACTCGTTGTTTTACATCTACAAATCCATAAAGATTAGAAATACATTATTTTTTTTCATATTTTAACTAAATCATTCCTATCAATAATTTATTGGTTTAACAGTGAAAGAGTTAATCTCTAAATAAATTTTTATAATTCAATTGTTAAAATCATATATAAAAAATTAAATCTTGTTTATTTTTGTTTCAAATAAAATTAATTATATTTTTAATATGAGATCATAATATTTGGAGAAAAAAAAAACCAATCCTCTTCACTTGCCTGTCCTTCCCATGACTTAATGCAGAAGGCTGCCTTATATTCATGGTATGAACCTTTCGAACTTTGATTTGCAAAATGGGTTATGGTTTTTGTTTTGATCTTGTCCCTTCCTTGCTATCCTCAGAAATTGGTTTCCCTTTTATACTACTGCTACTTTTTCCTTAACCACTCGAGCGTGTTTAAGGGAGGAGATGAATTGCTGAACAGTGAAAAAATGTGGCAACATTGATACTCCCACTTGGAATTTCTTGAAAATTGCTGTTACAATCTTTTATTTTCCTACCGTTGCTTTTGAAAATAGTCGTTGGTTTCATTTGCCATTGTTATACATGTATGTGACCAGCACTGTATGACGCGACCACATATCCATACCTCCGACAGCGAAAAAGGAAAAGAGTTGACCACCAAACGTGTTTGACTCTCCACTATCTCTCTTTGTCCACTCTAGTGCAGGAAGATATTGCAAAAAAATCTTTATCTAACCGATATGCAGCATCAGGCAATATTCAATAATGTAAGAATCAACTGTGCTAATTAATCATGTAGTTTTGAAGCACACAAACCCAGTTGGTGTAATAATTTTTTTTGGCCGGTGACTGTCATATTGTCTTCACATATCATGTGTTGAATTTTTGTTTTTCTGTAGTGTGATAGGATGATTCATGACAACATGGGTGGCCTACTTTTTTTAGTCTTCTTTTTGGTTTAACTCCCTCTCGGCCTCTCCCGTTGCAAAATTTTCCTTACACGCTTCAATTTTCAAATCCATTTGCTGCATGTCGAAATTCAAAGGGTTACATGAGAAAGATAAGAGGGCAAGCAACATAATAAACGACAAGGAAAATATATAAGTCCACACGTTGGAAACCAAGAGAGAGCAATTAATAGTTTAGGTCAGAAAAAATCAACAACCCTAATAAGGTTAAAATTGTTATGTATTTTGTATGACATTTTTTTAAACTCATTGTGTGTGAAATATACGATGAATTAGATGCGCAAGAAAACTTCATTTGAGTTTTGTAATATTGGCATGTACGTGAAACGTAAGGAATTGGATGAAGATATTAATTAGAGAATAAGTTGGAAAATCGTTTGCAAGAAGATAGTATTTTATATGGTTCACGAGCAAATTGTATTTTCGACAATGCATCAAAAAAACCCTGATGCTTTGAGAGTTTCATAAGAAAACGAGTTAAAGAAGAGCCTAGAATAAGAAAGAGAGAGGAAAAAAAAAAAAAAGAGAAAGAAAGAAAGAAAATAGTTTTCATATAAATGGGAGTGGATTCACTCATTAAGAAAACTCACCAAGAAAATCTTGACCCTTGGCATAGTTTGAAGGGTTGGGATTAAGCAAACATAAGATATTATGTTAGAAGAAACACGAAAGTATCTTATATATTAATTAATTCAAGAACAATGTGTTTAATTTTCTACCAAATATCCTAAAAGCAGCTCAGACAATAATTGCCAGTAATATACCCACAAGAATAGAACAACTTATAAATAAATCATTCTATTTTTTTAAAATAAATTAATTAGTCTTATTTGTTTAAAAAACTAATTATTTAATCAGTTGATCCTATAACCTTTTTTAATTTGATATTATTTTATTTGAAAAATGACATATTTTCTTATCATTTTTTTATCTCTTTTACTTATTTTTTTATTTATTAAAAAATTAAATAAATTGAAAAGGAATAAAAATGATTAATTACAAGAAAATTTAAAAATATAAAGGCTTAATCATTAATTTTTGAAGAAAAAATTATTTGGTTTAAATGTACTAACTACCTTTTTGGAAACAATTGTAACTGCACATACCGAACACTCTCCCTTGCAACAAATTGCTACCACGACAATACAATTATACGACTGTTTCAACTTTTAATGTAATTTAATTGAAAAGGAAAATCATCACGTGGGGATATCAAACATCTAAAAGATAAAAGGAAAAAAGGAAAAAGGAAAAAAGAAGGGCATATTGCTACCTAAAAACCCAACAAATAATATTTGATTATCAATAAAGATATGTGTTTCAATTTAAATATATAAAACATAGAATAATGAGTGTTTTTGAAACATTGAATATATTTTTCAAATCCCTCAGCATTATAAGCCAGAAGGAAAAAGAAGGAAAAAAAAAAGAAGGAAAAAACACTGCACCACAAATTAAGGAAGCATAATTAAAAAATTTGATGTGGGATGTGGAATTCAATTCCCAACGATCCCTTTCTATTACGAGCTCAAATCAATCTGTTTGCCTCTATGTCCGGGGTAGCAATATATTTTCTTTTTCTTTGCTCACTGGGCACTGATACTGCCACAATAAATCCAATATCATTTTTTTTTAAATGAAATTTTTTATTCATAAAATAAAATAGAAGTAGGAGTTTATCTTGCTACAAAACATGAATAAATGACAAATACATAAAGCAAATTAGGACAATATCTAGAAATTTTATAATTTACAAGGAGTAGCTATTGGTATGTATAATAGTTACTATATAAATTCACTTTAAAGAGAGATATAGACACATTTAATTATATTCGAACCCCACAAAAAGTGATAAGAAGATTTTTATGTTCACTCAATTTTTTTTTAATTTTCTTTCTCTTTTTTATGTCTATCTGTCTCCTCAAAATAGATCTATAGAATAATTATTATACATGTCATTAGTTACCCCTTATGTATTATAAAATTTCTCAAACAATATTCATTGAATACAAATAAATTCAAATTTTGAACTAAATATTAATTCAGTTGGAAGCTTAGAATTACATAATCCATGACGAACAATCCGACAAATCTATCTAGTCACATTACTCGATGAAGAAATATTTTTACCATATATTCTATGATTTCTTTGTTTTTGCAAACTATAAATGGTTGCATTATATGTCAACTTAATAATAATAAATTGATTTTTTTTTTTTGGCAAATGCTTCATTGTCGTTGCAATTCTGTATTTCACCTATCAGTTACTTTATAAAATTCATTTTAAGAAGAATAATATTCCACACAATTTTAGAGTGAAAAAATTCAAAAAATAAACTATCACGGTAAATTCAACATCAGCCCACCACTCCCTTAAAACCCCAGATTTCGATTTTGCTTTTATCAAGATTCCACTGTCCAATAACCTCTTACGACATACTAAGACTAATCTATCCCTTCAATATTAATCTACACAATAAATCATTTATATTAAAATCAGGGTATCCATGAGATTTTTTTTCAACGATGTTCTTTATCGAGAAAAAGCAATAAATGATAAGTTATTTTTTGATTGGTACGTGAATGAATGAATCACACAAGTATAACTTTTTTCTTGTTTTTTGCAGTGAGATAACATTATTCGCTTTGTGTTTCCAAAGTTTACTTGGATTTTGAATTTTTGTTTTTAAAAAAATGTTTTCGGAAAGCAATCCTTTTTTCTACCCGTACAAACATTTAAGGGTAGACAACTCATAAGAACAAGGTTAATTTTATCAAATATCCTCACATTCACTTTTTTTTTAAAAAAAATCCAATGTATTAACTAAATAAATTTCACCTTTATAAAAAAAAAATCACCAAAAAATCCCATAAATCATTGATTTTTTTTGAAAAAATGAGTTTAAAACTTTCGGAAAAATCAGTATTACTCAACCCATATACTCTTTTTTAATGTGTTTTTATTTTGGGAAAAATATCTGTGGTGAAATGTCACAGATCTCCCCAAATTTCCAGACCCCTACTGTACGAAGTGTCTCTAGCAAACTTTCCTTAAACAGTTGAGTGACATAACTTCGTCCTTTATTTCCTCCCTTACATTAGAACACTAATGTCTTTTTTTTTTAAATAGCACAATTACATACACATACATATTTATAGAAACAGAAAAATCTAGAGAGAGAAAGAGATTATATATTACTACTGCATAAGGGTGCTTGTAGTATAAATAATAGAGGGAAGTGCCAGAAGGAGTGGTTTTGAACTTAGCTGGCAAGTGCATGATTACCGGAAGTCAAATACAACACCAAAACAACACAAACTCCGAACCACCGGACCACTTTCCGTGAACCACTGGTCCATAATTCCTCACTCATGAGCACAGCCCTGGCTCATGCCGCTTTTTCGCAAAGCTTGAGCGACTATCCATCTTTTGCTTTATGAATTGTCAAAGCTTAAAAACTCAAAACCCCAAAAGCCCTTTTTAAGCCTCCCATTTTTCTTTTCTTCTTTGCTTTCTACTCCTATATATTATATAGAGAGCTAGACAGAGAGAGAGTCCGCACGCTATACCTTCTTGACCGGCCATTTTTAACTTTCTGATTTTTTTTTAAACAAATATTTTATATTTACATAATTGTTTCTTTTTTCTTTTTTCCTTTTTAAATCTTTTGTGTCTCCTGTCAACTGAAGAAACTGGAATTTAGAAAGAGAAAGAGAGTAGGTAGAGAGATAGTGTGATTCAGATTGGTTACCAACAAGTTTTGAAGAAGACAGAATCAAAACCTAGTGATTGAGGTAAGAGCCTGTCTCTCCAGTTTAGTCAGCCTTTGATGTTTCTGGTTAGTGAGAGAAAAAACTAAAAAGAAACAAACTTGATAGTAAGAGAGAAAAAACAAAAAAACCCACATTTTTGTTTGTACTAATTTATACTTATTTATCTGTGAAGTTTGAATCTTTGATATGAAGAAGAGAGTATTTGTGCTGGAAATTCAATTCCCATAAGCCATGGTGGATCACAGGATTGTATTAGCATTAAAGTTGTTGCTTTTGGTGTTGTTTTTTGAGTCTACATTTGAGCAACAACAGCAAGAGAGGCTTAGTTCACCAATAGAGAGAGCAGCTTTACTTGGACTAAGATCTACTTTGGGCTTAAGAAGCAGGGATTGGCCAAGAAAGGCAGACCCTTGTTCAGTTTGGAACGGTATCAAATGTGAGAATGGTAGTGTTAGTGAAATTAACATTTCAGGGTTTAAAAGGACTAGACTTGGTTCTCAAAACCCACAATTTAGAGTTGATTCTCTTGTTAATTTAACTAGACTTAAATCTTTTAATGCTTCTGGCTTTTATCTTCTTGGTTCAATTCCTGATTGGTTTGGTCAAAGGCTTGTTTCCCTTCAAGTTCTTGATCTTTCTTCTTGCTCGATAAATAATGCTATTCCAGGGAGTTTAGGGAATTTGACCAGTTTAACTGGTCTTTATTTGTATGATAATAACTTTACGGGTATGATTCCATCGAGTTTGGGACAATTGGTGGGGCTTTCTGTACTTGATCTTTCGGCAAATATGTTTACTGGATCTATTCCTGTGTCATTTGGTTCGCTTCGAAATTTGACAAGACTTGATATCTCTATGAATTTCGTATTTGGTTCGATTCCAGTTGGCATTGGGATGCTTTTGAAACTCCAGTATTTGAATTTTTCGAACAATGACTTGTCGTCTTCGATACCTGCTCAGCTCGGTGACCTTAGTAACTTGGTTGACCTTGATCTGAGCTTTAATTCGTTGACCGGATCATTGCCAGCAGAGTTGAAAGGCTTGAGGAATTTGCAGAGAATGCTGATTGGGAACAATATGCTTGGCGGGTCTTTGCCAGTCAATTTGTTTCCTGTTCCAAGTCAGTTGCAAACTGTGGTTTTGAAGAGCAATAATTTTGATGGTGCGGTCCCTGATGTGCTGTGGTCAATGCCTCAGTTGCGCTTGCTTGATATCTCCGGCAACAATTTCACTGGTATGCTACTGAATGCTAGTTTGAATGCTAACACCACTACTGCAGAATTGAATATATCCCAGAATTTGTTTTATGGGGGTCTTACACCTATTCTGAGAAGGTTTGGCTTTGTAGACCTGTCTGGTAATTATTTTGAAGGCAGGGTTCCAGATTATGTGAATGACAATGCTTCTCTTGTTAGCAATTGTCTCCAAAATTTGTCAAATCAGCGGAGTTTGCATGATTGTACTTCTTTCTATACTGAAAAGGGCTTGACTTTTGATAATTTTGGACTACCGAACTCCACGCAACCTCCAGCCAGGGAAAATTCACGAAAGAGCAACAGAAAGGTCATCATATTGGCAAGTGTTTTGGGAGGAGTTGGGCTTATTCTGCTTCTGATTATATTGCTAGTACTGCTGCTCTTTTGCATCCGTAAGAAGGGCACTACGACTCAAAGAGGGGTTGGGGTTGGTCCAGTAACTCCAGTTCCTTCTGGGAGCAGTCCACCACCTCCTGGAGTATCAATTGACTTTTCAAGTTTTGGGGAAACATTCACATATCAGCAGCTTCTCCTAGCCACCGGTGACTTTAGCGATTTGAACCTCATCAAACATGGCCATTCAGGGGATCTCTACAAGGGAATCTTGGAAAGTGGGATCCCTGTGGTTATAAAAAGGATTGATCTGCAGTCCCAAAGGAAGGAAGCGTACTTATTGGAATTGGATTGTTTTAGTAAGGTTTCACATCCCAGATTGGTTCCCCTTTTGGGACACTGCCTAGAGAAAGAAAATGAGAAATTTCTGATTTACAAACATATGCCAAATGGAGACTTGTCAAGTTCCTTGTACAGGAAAACTAATTCAGAAGATGATAGTTTGAAGTCATTAGATTGGATAACAAGACTGAAAATTGCAATAGGAGCTGCTGAAGGTTTATCTTATCTGCATCATGAATGCACACCGTCCATTGTGCACAGGTACTCTAGAGACACATATTTTTATTGCTTTGTTCACTTTCCTTTTTGTGATTTCTTTTTGTTGTCAGTAACAGTTAGATCCCATAGCTTCCTCTTTGTTCCCGTGTGCGAGTTTCCATGCATTATGTAGGAAGACACCTAGTTATGTGCCCAGTGTAGTCTTTGAACTTCAGTAAAATATGGACATCGCAGCACATCTCAAATCCTATTAAATGAGTGTCACGAGATATTTAATGTCAATGTCAAGGTCAATTATGCTGTAAAATTGATTGGTAAACTATAAATCTGCTTTTACGTCAATCCAGAGTTTAGTGTTATAAAGCTAGTTCAAGTGGTCAAAAGTAGGCTCTGAGTTGGTGGGGTGGGGAGTGTTTCAAGTGCATCTCCTACCTTTTGGCTGTGGTTGCATCACAGAAATTTATCTTACTGCTGCAATTACTGAACTGTTTTCTTTTGGTTTCTTGAAGAGATGTTCAAGCCAGCAGTATACTCCTTGATGATAAATTTGAAGTACGGTTAGGGAGCCTGAGTGAAGTCTGTACTCAAGAAGGAGATACCCGTCAAAGCAGGATTACAAGGTTGCTGCGTCTGCCTCAGTAAGTATTGTATTAAAAGTTGTCACTGTCCACTGTCCAGACATTTTGAACCTGCAATCTTATCTGGATAAATGTTATGTGTTGTTATTACTTGCCATCTTCACTTGCATATAACATTTAAACTTTTTGCTTATCTACACGAGAAGTTGTGATGGGTTAGTTGTCTCATTTTGTGGTCTGTCATGGTAAATTATTCTGTGTTTTTGACTTTCCACCTAGCTGTTAGCCATAACTGGCCTTGTTGATTTACTTCTAATTTTTATTTTTTTCAAGAGTATCTGTTGCCTTTAGTGAGACATTCTGTGCTTTAATGGCTTGCAGTGCTGTTACAATTCTGCCAATACAAACTTCCTTTGGTTCTCACTGTTATTAGATATGCAGCCGGAAAATTGTTAGGTGTGACTATTCGATGTAATAAATTTTCTGGCTGCCAACATCAAGCGGGGGTGATTTTATTGAAAATTTTATTTCTTGATGGAAAAGTTTCAGAAACTGTGCTGCTAGGTTTTTCTGCAGCACCCCCTTAAATTATTTTGGGCATTGTGAACTATAAGATGTTCCATAATAATGATCTTGTTTTTTTTAAACGTGGATATTGGACCTTCTGAACTTTTTGGTCCTTTGGGGCAGCTCTTTAATTTGTAGACCAGGAGCTAATTTCGAAGGTCAGAAGTAAACACTTGAGTTCTTTCATTGCTTTCACCTTGTGTAGTTGAGAAAACGATTGTGCAAAGTGTGAAAACACTAGCATATTGTAGTTTAAGATATACCTGACCGTAGATTTGACAAAATTATATGGTTCAAGTTCAACTTCTGTCTTGGTATCTAACGAATGAAAAGCAGGAGCAAGATTGATGTAACGCTGTTGAAATTCACAATGACTCACTAATAGCATATATAACCTTCTTCTGTTATTTTTTTGGCTATTTGTGGTTAGACTATACCTTGTCATATCATCCTGTTGCATCAATAAGCTATAAAGAGACAATATATTGTATGCTTGTTTTTGCATAATCCAGGTAGTGATTCAGTGTTTCTTTTTTATTTTCAGGTCATCGGAACAAGGTACTTCTGGTACGTAAAGAGTTAGCTGTAAAACATCACCAAAATTTGATTTTGTTATTTGGCTTCTCTATATTAATCCATCTAACTAGAAGTAGCCCATATGCTGTAGGATTTGTCATACACACCGAACTTAAATTGCTTGTTATGATGTTATAGTACATGTGGTTACTAAAAAATTCATTTTTAGGCTTAGATAACATGGAATGTTAATTCCGTTATTAAGACATTAAGATTTTCAATCCAGCACCTTTTTAACCATGCTGAATTATGAGATGGGGTTGTTTATCATTGTTAACCAGACTAAACAAGGTGTCACCTTGGCTTGAAACAGGGGATAAAATAACCTGCCACATGCTTTACCTAGTTGTGCTCATGCAGAATTGCTATTTATATAGCATTGCTCCTGAACTGGTTGATGGTATTTGGCCCTAGAAAAAGCATAATTTGTGGAAAATTGTTATGCATGTCTTCTCATTACCAAATTGAACTCAATTCCTTTTCAGAGTCGTAATGGCACTGACTCACTGCCAATTTTTTTGATACATAATCTTTGCACCGAGGATTGACATTTTTTTTTGTTGATTCTGATTATCTATCATATTATATAATTTAAAGTTGACTAATATTTTCTGCGTAGTTTTTGAAGTCCATTTTTTCTTGAATATGACCAGGCTCATTGACAACCACATGTGCCTATGATGTTTATTGCTTCGGGAAGGTATTATTAGAGTTGGTTACTGGAAAGCTTGGCATCAGCGCATCTAGTGATGCCCAGCTGAAGGAATTTTCAGAACAGATTCTACCGTACATTAGCATCTATGACAAGGAGCTTGTAATAAAAATTGTGGATCCATCTCTGATCATTGACGAAGATCTGTTGGAGGAAGTTTGGGCAATGGCCATTGTTGCGAGGTCTTGCCTCAATCCAAAGCCTTCAAGGCGCCCCCTCATGAGATACATCCTTAAGGCTTTGGAAAATCCTTTGAAGGTAGTGAGGGAAGAAAATTCTGGTTCTGCAAGGCTTAGAACAACTTCTTCTAGATCTTGGAATGCTTCGCTATTTGGGAGTTGGCGTCACAGCTCATCTGATGTAGCAGTCATTCCAGCGGGCTCTAGTGCCAGGCCAGAAGGAGAAAGTAGTTTTAAACAGTCAGGAGCTTCAAATTCACAGGGTAGTGGCCAAAATAGTGGCGGCGACCATTCATCTTCACATAGACGGCATTCTAGAGAGATTTACCCTGAACCATCTGATGAGCAAGATGTAGAGAGACAGGATTAAAATTAGCAGAGATGTTTATTTTTCTTAATTCTTTGTCAATAATACAGCAGGCTTCCTATTTGAATGCCTGCTTGTTGGTGCCCCAGTGCACTGTCCGTGGTTTTTGGAGTTGATTGAGGTCTCCAGCCATTTTGGTATATTTGGGGTGTTGAAGGTGCGTATCTTCTTCCACAGGAAACTAATATCAACAGTTTTGTGAAGGTTTTGTTTGTGAGGCTGCAAGTTCTACTTCATGATTAAATTGAATAGACAGGATTGAGTCAGAAGACAAGGGGGTGCAATTGGGGATTGTGGTCATTATTTGTTTTTGACAGCTTGTTTGTAGTTACAACAAGCTCCCATTTTTATCTGTAATTGATCTTTTGTTCATGGTCTTTTTTTGTGCAATGTAAAGTGTAATTGTTCAGAATTTCGTCCTTCAAAATCTTCCCGTCCTCAAAAAGAAAAGGCAAGAGGAAAGATCCTAAACCCCACTGTTCTCGGTCCCGTATTGAGATTGGTTCAGCAATCCAATTACCCCTCTTTTCGGCTTTGAAGCAAGTGCCACGTGGATTTGCTTTCCGACTAATGTACAATGGGAAGAGCTAGGAAAGACACGTTCGCACGTTCGCTTTCCCAGCCCTTCCCACGTACATTTTGCAAATCCTCAATGACAGGACAATAGACTCAAGACACAACCTTATAAAAATTGGGGAAAAAACCATCAAGAAAGGTCCCACCGAGATTTGAACTCGGGTTACTGGATTCAGAGTCCAATGTCCTGACCACTAGACCATGGGACCATTTGTGGCACTAGTTTTGATTTATTGTTATATAATTTAAAGATTTAAACAAATTTTACCAGCATATTTTTCCCACTGTCGCCACTCTATCCATAGCATACCTCCGATTCAACTCCCCAAAACATGCTCTCTTGCCCACACTACCGCCATCCCCTCCACTTCGTCCACCACAGAAACCGCAATTACACTACCCTTCTCCAGCTCTCCTCTTGTCTCCACCACCAAACCCCTCAAAACCCCACCACCACCACAACAACAACCACTAATGACGAACCCATCCTCAGGACCCACAACTCCAAATCCACCTCTCTTCTCATCCATCACCTTAAATCACCAAATCAAACCCAAACCAAGATTGAAACTTTACAGGATGTAATTACACCAGAAGAAAGAGTTAAACTCCAAGAACTAACCCTTGTAACTAAAAAACGAATCCCACAATTCCCAGGCTCAGTTTTTCCAACAAAGACAGAATCTTTAGATTCTCATTTACAGACCCTTTTTAGAAACCAAAGTGAAGATGAATATGACAGTGAAAAAGAGGATGATTTTGATGAGGAAATGGTTGTGAAAGCTATTGAGATACGTAGGAAGGTGACAGCTGAGATTTTTAAACAAGCAATGAGGAGGAAAGGGAAGTTTGGGATTACATATTCGACAAATTTGGTTAATAGATTAGATGAGTTTGTTGATTTTGTTATGATTAAGGCTGCTGCAATGAAGAGAATGGATGAGTTTAAGTTTTTGCGTTTTAATGATAGAGCTAGAAATGTTATTGAGGAGTTGAATGTTGTGCCACTTATAAGGTATATTGGGATTTTAATGGTTGTGAAGTATTGGTTTTATTGAGTTTTGAGTTGGTTAATATGTGTTTGGTTTGTTGTTTTTGTGAATTACGTGGTTTTTCTCTGTGGGTTTATGATAAAGTTTGCTTTTGTATTAAATGTTAAAGTTAATGAAACTTGGATTTATATGCGTCTTATAATATCTTGAATTCATTTCTAGAGATTGAGATATTGTTCTTTTCACTTTATTTTCATGGATTTGGTTGGTTGCATCTCACTGTGCTTGGATAATTTTCCTAGTTCATTTTTATAAATTATTGGTCAATGTGGTTTTAACTGTGTTAATTGTGAATTCTGAATTATATAGGTGGTTGAAACACAATGCAGTTTCGTATCCTAGGATTGCTAAGCTTATTTCCATGTCAAGAGGAAATGTTGAGTCCATCAGACGTGTTGCTGAGTGGTTGAAATCAATACACGTGAAGGGGGATTTTCTTGGGTCGGTGCTCACGAAGGCAGGGGAGAGTATTTTTGAACGGTCTAATGAAGAATTAGAAGAAATTGTTGGGTATTTAGAGAGCAACGGAGTAAGAAGGGATTGGATGGGTTATGTAATGAGTCGATCTCCTCAATTGCTGTGTTGTAGCATGGAAGAAGTGAAAACTCGAGTTGGGTTCTTCTTGGATCTGGGTATGAATGAGAAGGATTTCGGCACGATGGTCTTTGATTATCCTAGGGTACTTGGCTACTTTACTTTGGAAGAGATGAACCAAAAGGTAACTGACTTAATCTGCAATTTTCAATATTGCAGGATTTTAGGATCTCATTTTGCTTCTTGAAACAGTTCAGGTTGACTCTCCATGAGTAAACCATTGAAGTGTAACAAGCAATGCATCAGTGATGTATTTTTGAAAAATTCTTCTACCAATTGAGATTATCATATAGTGGATGATGCTGTTGTTTATTCAGGTTAATTATCTCAAGGAGTTTGGCCTCAATAACGAAGATGTTGGGAGATTACTAGCATTTAAGCCACAGTTGATGGGTTGTGGCATTGAGGAAAGGTGGAAGCCTCTTGTTAAGTATTTTTACTACCTTGGGATTTCACGTGATGGTATGAAGAGAATGCTTATCATTAAACCAATGGTTTTCTGTGTTGATTTGGAGCAAACCATAGTGCCAAAGGTACTAACTGTTCTTTCGTGCTCATTTAATCTAGTTGAATTCCTTTGATTCGGATTTCATCCTGCTAATCTCATTTTTCTTCTAATGCTATCGTGTGATAATTATTTCGGGGTTGCCTGAACCATAAACTTTTGAGCATGAAGTGAGACGTTATTGATATTATGCTAGTTTTGCTGCTCCAGTTTCTAATGATTTGACATGATTTTGCTTTTGTTGTGAAGGTGCGATTTTTTCAGGATATAGGCATTCGAGATGATGCTATCGGCAACATACTTGTAAAGTTTCCTCCGTTGTTAACATACAGCCTTTACAAGAAAATCCGGCCAGTGGTTTGTTCTATTTCTTCTCTTACCCTGCATACACTGTATAATTATTTAAGAACCCCACCCTTCTCCCCTTAAAGAGATAATCCATATTTTATTGAAAAACATTTCTCCTTTTCTTTTTGTCTAGTTACCATCTCTCTCTTTTCCATGCACGTAAAGCGGGACTTTATTTTGCTGAAAGTTGGAGTAACATGCAGGTGATATTCTTGATAACAAAAGCTGGAGTTAGTGAGAGAAATATTGCAAAGACTATAGCTTTGGGACCAGAGCTCTTGGGATGCAACATAGTGAATAAGCTTGAGATAAATCTAAAATACTTCCTCTCACTTGGCATACGCCATCGACAATTGGGTGAGATGATTGCTGATTTTCCAGTGCTACTGCGATACAATATAGATCTCCTCCGTCCAAAGTACAAGTACTTGAGGCGAACTATGGTCCGTCCTTTGGAGGATCTCATTGAGTTTCCAAGGTGAATAGTTCTACTGAAACTAACTAGTTTCATTTAGAGGCTTGTTGTAAGTCAAGCTCAACTAAGCAGAAGCTTAGAAGCTCTTAACTCTATAAAGGTTCACAAACATCCCAAATAGTCCAAGTTATTGTTGCAGCGCCTTTACGTATGAGTAACTGCATGGATTATCTGAAAAAGTTTTTTCCCTAGATAAAAATTTCCAGGTTCCTTTGTTTAATTCTTCTTCCTTTGCACCTTTGATGCTGACCACTAGTGATATAACTTTCAGGTTCTTCAGCTATTCTCTTGATGACCGAATAATTCCAAGGCACAAGATTCTGGTAGAGAATCATATTAATTTTAAACTACGGTACATGCTAGCTTCCACAGACGAAGAATTTCAGAAAAAGGTCGAGGCTGCTGTGGAAAGGCGTCGAAAATTTGAATCTGGTTTGATGGGTGATATGCTCTCTAATTCTCAAGCATTTGATGAGGACCCTTCAGAAGACGAGACAGATTTCCGGTTTCCTGAAACTCAGATAATTGTTTCCAATTCTCAAAAAAACGCAGCTTAATTTCATTTCTCTTGGAAGTGGGGATTCTGAAAACTGAGCTTAACTCCAGTTTTTCATTATATGTACCCCTCGTTTGTACTCTAATGTGTATATGTATAGCTGTATTCCTTTGAAATCTCCTTTGATAAGCCCCACAATCAACAACAATTCCAAATCAAAATCGAATCACCAAAATTGTTCCTAATTTCAATAGAAAGCTTAAACTGTTGTTTCAGCTAGGGATTAAATGGGTAGGACCTGGAGTAATGTTTTACCTATTATATATCTTAATTTAACTAATGAATCACCAATCATGTGTTGTTATCAGTAAAAGATTAATTATTTCTAGCATCATCATTTTTAAATGGTATTCATATCCTTTTAATCCATATCCTATCCATCAATTAATGCAAATTCTTTCATTGAGTGTGACCAAGTTTATCGATATTTAGTTAAAATGAATATCTGACAGTGATTTGATTGTAAAAATGTTTTTGATTCAGGGACTAAAATGTATTTACATAAAAGTATGAAAACCAAAAACTTTCAACCAAAGACTTATTTGTAAGAAAAAATAACAGATACGAAGTAATAATTTTAAAAATATATTAGGGACTAAAATGAACATAAGGGAAAAAGTTTCACTTTCTTTTTCAATGTCGTATTATTAAATGGATTACCCTTACCCAGTGTCACCTAACCCATTTAACTCAGGGTTTGTTGGATCAGTGGGTTTAATTTTACAGTAAATGGGCATGGATGGGTTATGAAAAGCTACTATCACCAATGTAACTTTTCTTAAATAATAATAGAAAATTAAAAATATATTAACTGTCGAATTCTTCATGCCGTTCAAAATTGTTGTTTAATCATCATTAATCCTCTTCTCCATGTTTTTATTGTTAAGTTTGACATGTTGATTGCAATGGTCAGTCCTTTATATTGCTTAAATTATTGAATCTAGTCCCTAACAATCAAACTCTAGCGATTTGATCTAATTGCCAATGATGAATTGAAAAATTTTAGTTTAAGTGTCAATAAAAATAAATACTAGCTAGGATCTGAAACACGATCCATCATGCTTCCTTGGTAACATAAGAGGATCCAAATCGGTTACTTCATCCATGAATTGTTAATTCCACTCCATATTTATTACATACGAACGAGTGAATCTAAATTCCATTTTTTAGCTTGAAAAGGGTTCATCAAACCACGTTTCCAGGCAGCAAAGTACAAACAGAAGGATGGCAGCAATGTGTGGAAACTGGGAGACTGACGTGCTATTTTTAGCGTGGTCAAAGAAAGCAGTAGCGGAGGCGAATCCCAGAGGAACTAAGTTGGGTTTCATTACAACCAAAATAAAGGATTGCTTATTTTGGATTTTCATCTGAGAGTAATGCTTCAACAAGAATACGAACAATGAATTAATGATATTGATGGTAATATATGTTATCACTCTTCGTTCAAAATCTCCCCATTCACCAAACAGTCCTTTTGGATGCTCGCATGGCGCTCTTGTAACAGACAATTACTAGTTGCCTAAACCTCTGATCCATCATCCAGCAGCGACCTTTTAAAGATCTTACCCGAAGAATGATTGTCTAATTGAATTTCCACGCCGAGGAAACTTGGTAATGAAACCCTATTTGAACCGGCTCGGCTCGTTATCGAAGGAAAAACTGTCAATTCAAAGCTAAAAACATAATTTTCAATAGAAAATTAGTTTTTTAAAATTATAAATAAGTCTAAATAGTAATTAAGAAAATTATGTTTAATTTTCTAACTTCTTTTGCCATTAAAAAATCAGAAATTTGAACATAATTAAGTCAGAATTAATTTGAAATAATTAATTAATATGTTGAATTTACGTTAAAATAATTTTTTTATGGTAAAAGAAGTCAGAAAATTCAACATATATTTTTAAAATTTTGTAAATAACAATTAATTATTTTAACTTATTTCTAATTTTTAAAAATTGATTTTTCACAAAAAAAAAAGTTTTTAGCCTTTGGTTAATAGGTGTCAATATATAATTAGTCAGACATTAACATACTTAATTTAACAGAATAAATTAATGAAATTGGATAAAAAATTAATTTTGCATAATTTTGAGAAGTACAAAATTTAATTTGTATCTTAAATAGATAAAAGATTAATATAATTAAACACCCATTTTCTTTTGCAAGAAGAGGAAATGGGTAGAAAACAGAGTGACACCTAAAAGCCTATAAAACACTGGACCTTCTAATAGAAAAGGAAAAATCTACCAAATTAACATGTTAATTTATATGCCTCTCGGTCTTCACTGTTTGACCAAGTTTATGACATGCATGGTCCCGGTGATTGAAGAAGACACCTTTCAGCTGGTGTATCTATCTATGTACGAAACGTTGAACATTAGTAGGTTTTAAGAGTTCCATCTGATCAATTTATAAATGATTTTTTCTTTTTTGCTACAACTTTAAAAAAACCAGTAATTCGATTCGAACTTAAGGCTTTACGTCGAATGAGCCAACTATGCTATCCGAACCACTTCTTTAGAGGCTGTTAACGAAATAAATTTGACAAATACTAGAGTGAAATATGAGGTTTTGCTTATATTTAATGTCTTAGCCCGTGTTTATTCCTTTTATTATCCTCCTTTGTAGTCTTGGATTGTTTTACCTCTAGCACCCATATTCGACTCGACAGTATGATACTAATTCCATAAATTGGTGATATGAGATGAGATTTCATTTGATTAATTTGATGAGAAGGCCGGACGGTAGATCTCATGGAAAAAAAAAAAAAACAGTATTTAGAAAAATTCAATAGACAACTTGATTGATCACAAGTACAGTGAAGTCAAATTAAAGAACACAAAGAACAACGATCAAGATTTGATAGAGAATGAGTTCCACTAATTAATTTCCCTGCTCATCTTCATACCAAGAAGCAAGAATGTTCTTGAGTTGCCTATTGTAGACAAAGGGCCGCTCCAATTCCGGCAAGTGACCTGCCCTCTGTATGCAATGCAGCGTTGCTTTGCCTTCTAGCAGCCTGCAGTCACAGTTTAAAGCCCGTCACAAAAAATATTACTAATTCGGCGAACAACGTAAAATTAAGCTAACTAACTCTAGTTATTGGATAGGAATGATTCGTATGATTATTAATTAGGGTACGTAAAATATAATGTTTACATGCATTCTGTCTATAGCTGTACCAATGGATTGACGACAAGCAACATATATAATTAACCAACTAATTAAATTGATAGAGGAATTAATAGACGTAGACGTACTCTTTCAGATTACGAACTTCTTCCGTGTCGAAAATTATGTCATCCCCTCCCCACAAAAGATGAAACCTCTGCAGTTGGAATCATAAATAAAGGTAAGATTTCTCGTTCTAGCTAGGTATACTTTTGAGACAGAATGAACTACATAAATAAGGAATGGCAGCTAAAGTTTTGCTTCTTTTCCTCTCTCCGTAACATAATCAATTTAATTTGACTGCCTCATTTGAACAAGTAGTGAAAGCATGTGGCAAAAGAAGAATAATAATAAGTTAAATCCCATTAAATTGGACTAGGAAGTTGAGTAAGTAATAATAATCTTAATGTTAATTCCTTCCTGATCACCTGTGTAAAATGAGGGACAGTGAAATCCTTATCCTTTACAATTAACGCGTCTAAAAGTTCATGTCTCTCCTTCCTGTGGTCAAAGTACAAGGCCTGCCACCGATGTCAAAATTCAAAAAGTTATTAACATGCAAAGACCAACTACTTACGTAGTAAATATTACTTTCATTAATTATATATATATATATATATATATATATATATATATATATATATATTTTAGTTGAGTATATATATACACACACACACACTCAACTGCTCAACTAAAGATTGATTATTTTAACCAACGATTTAATGGGGTACTATCTCTGTACATGAATTACTCTTCTCAATTATAAAGTCAATTCCAGTACTACTTTGTCAATGTTTGCTTGCAATTAAAGACAGTAGGATTTGATAGCTTTTTCTTCTTCTTGTTTTTTTTTTAAAAAAGAATAATTTGATAGCATTGTTGTGTAACTACTAGTATGCTATGCTGATTCTAATTATATATGTAGTATTAACTTTACAGGGATATTTGATCTCTTGATATGTATACTGTATTCAAACACCATGACACAGGGAAAAAAATTAAAATCAACAATGGGAGACAGGATTTGATAGCTTAGCTAACGAAGCTTAACTCCAAAATGTCTTTGCAGACAAAATCAGGTACCCACGGCAACTTGTAGAAAGCAACGTCTAGCAGTTTCTTCACACCCTTGACAGTTTCAGGACTCAAATATTCTGCCCATGATGAGAAGCCGATTCTTTGCAGGCCAGCACGACTGATGGACTCAGTCAAGGCCATCACCGAACAAGTTATCACCATTGAATCAACCAGATTAGGGAACATCTCAGCCATCTTGAACCCAATCATCCCTCCATAGCTCAATCCAACCAAGGTGCACTTCTCCACGCCAAGCTTCCTTAGACCCTTAGCCATGCATTCTGCTTGAAAAGCCGGTGACCGTTCAGTTTTATCCGTGATTGAATCTCCAAAAAGAGGAGATCAGGAACATAAACCGCATACTTCTTGGCCAAAGCTAGCACCTGAAATTGCCATGTCAGAATCCCATCAAAACCAAAACCATGAAGAAACACAACGGCAGGTCTATTCTTGGTGGTGGTTTCAGTTGGGAGCCAGAAATTGATGACCGTCCCTGGCTCGATCTCTACTGCTTGGGGTCTCACCCCAGCTAGCTTCATCAGGCCATGCAACAAGGGTTTGTACAATGACAAAGTGTTCAACATCTCTCCCTCTCTAGAAATGTAGGCTCTTAATTCTATGAACTACAACAAGAAGAGATTTGTGTTATTTATAATTGCCTTGATATCAGGCTTAATCTCAAGAATCAGGGCTTCTTTGGAAGGCAGAAGTAGTAGTTCACAAGTTTGACTATAACTAGCCGGCATGTCTTCTCTCTCCTCGTTTTCATACTTAGGAAAGTTGAAAATATCAAGAAAAATCTACGAGTCTACTTCAAAAAAATAACGACTGCTTTTTCAGATTTTTTTTTCGAATTTTCTTTTTTGGTTATAAATGGAAGCTAGGAGAAATAATAATTCTAAATTTTTCAAATTATTCACCACTTCATATTTCATCTGCTTAATTAAACTATTAAATCCAGAACATAAATCTTACCATACTTATATTTAGATAAAAATTAAAGTGCTTTTATAAAAGGAATGAAACGAAGAGTAATCATCGACTAAAGCCTATCCGTTTGAATTTAGGCTTAATTCCTTGGCAAAGGGGAACTAGCTTTTAGCCGGTGAATAATCATGTATAGTTTACTATGATGATTCATATAATATGCCAAGTTGCTAGTGAGATAGGTATTTTTAATTCTCTTGCACCCACTAATTTATTGTGCAGATTTAAAGTTAAGTAGCACACAACATTAAAAGTAGGCATGATTTTCAAAGAGGTTTATTTTCTCATCTAATCATTTAACATTGTAAGTTTAAACTTCAAGTTAGTACTTATAAAAATTTATTTGTATAAATACATTATGCATATATAAAGAATGCACTCGGAGGGTCTAACCTTGATTTATTGTTTAAAAAAGATGGCACAGCATAATGACTTTACAATTACCGGCAAAGGCAACTATTTGTAAAGCATCTCCTAAAAATCTTTAATCATGTCGGCCCAAAATGGCAATTAGCCATGGCGTTGAACCATACGTGATCATATCGTTGACTGAAAAACAAAAATTATAGCCATGATTTGATTGGATTTAAACAAAAATCATACATACGTCACATGATGGTAATACAAATAATGACTCTTTGTTTAAAATCTCCCCATTTAACAAACAGTCCTTTGGGATGGTCACCCAGCGCTCTTCTAATAGACAACTACTAGTTTCTTAAACCTCTGATCCGTCGTCCAGCAACCTTTCAAAGATCTTACCCCAAGAATGATGATCCGTCATCCAGCAACCTTTTAAAGATCGTACCCCAAGAATGATTGTCTAATTGAATTCCACACCCAAGAAAAGTTGGGCTGAACCACTATTTGAACGGGCTGGGCTCGTCATCAAAGGGAAAGCAAGCTTATAAAAGAAAAATAAATCTGGGAATGTGTACTCGCACTCTGTGCCAGAGAGAATCAAAACGCAGTGTTTACAGCTGCTATTTCCAATAAGAGTACAATACAATTGAAGACTGGCCAATGGTTGGTGATGCCAAAAAGAATAGAGCCAGCCGTCATCAACGAAAAACTTGAGAAAGACCAAGCGAGAATCCAATCTAGCTGTCCCCAATTTGATCATTTTAGGTGCTATAATATCAACCTTGTTTCCTCAGACACAAACTCATTCAATTTGTTCTCAAAATTGAAAAATATAACACAGGAAAGAACAGAAGCATTTCACAATCTACTGAATACCAATAAGGCAGAGAGGGTTTCTCTTGATGAGGCCAAGATCCACCTGCAATGCAAAGAGAATGGATGCTTGTATGTCAACTTGTCATGAAGATAGCATAATGTTTTAAATAGCAGGAGTGAGTGAGTATAAGGCAGTACCTTGTGTCCAAAAAGCTCTCTGATATTATCAATCCCATATAGTATCATGGTTGGTCTGTTCAAACCATTGGAAGGTTAATATGAATACATTGACGTGATCCATAATTTCTATCATTTCTCAAAGACTAGAATAAACTGGGAAGATCATTCTCTTATTTCTCAAAAGCAAGGATCAAAATTCTCACCTTTCAAGCGAAAGGCCCCATGCAATAACATTAACATCTTCTGAGAATCCCATAGGACACAACATTTCAGGCCTGAACATGCCAGAATTTCCAATCTCCACCCATTTCTTGAGGCCTTCGTGATAACTGAAATATATAGGATGCATCAAATTTCCAATTACTTTAAAAGCAGTTCACACATAGCAGGAATTCATGATTTTATACCTGAAAATCTCCATGCTAGGCTCAGTATATGGATTGTACGCAGGCTTGAATTTCAGCTTGTCCATGCCTGGGAACAAAATGTGCATTTAAAAGTAGATTTTTTTTCCAACAGTAGTAACCATTGTCATCCAGCATCACTTGTGCACTATGACCAGTGTATAAACAGCATTGTTCTTTCAAATCAACAGTGCCAACCGCTAGCATCAAAGTCACCTACTAGGCACTTGTACCAAGATCAATCTATCTGTCTATCTATCTATATAAATAAACATGATTCATTAGGACTCCCATCAAACCTCAAACTGCTTCCCTTAATCCGTTCCTAGCGTGAGCAGGATTCAATCCCAAGTCACTTGGTACATGCTAAGTGATTTTACCAGCTAGCACTGGCAACCAATAATATTTTACAGGTGACAACTAAACTATAATTCTTTTATGCATATTTGAAGAAAAGAAGTGTTAAAAAAAAATTCCTTAATGACATTTCATTTAATTACCCAAACGTGAAAAGAAGTCCTGCAGCACTCCAATCAAGTGACCTAGAGTAAGCCCTCGATCACACACCAGACCTGAAAACAAAGGCAGGATTTTAAACTATTCATTGATTGACAAAATCACAACAACAAGAAATTAATCAAGCAATCAAGGCAGCATCCAATTCATCAGTGTCCACTATTGACAATATTCTATAGCGCAACATTTGCAACATGACCAACAGTTCACCATCTGAACCACAAATAATGCTCTTAAGATGTCCAAAAATGGGATCAAGTGCATCAAAATCTAAATTGGTTCTAAAATAGCACTTCCTATCAGACCAGAACGATATGAGCACGCAAAAAAACTGCTGCTAAAGAACAGCAAGTAAAACCGACTCAGTTGCATAATGCATTGGCGCAACATACCTTCTATCTGGTGGAATTCTGCTAGATGAGTTCGATCTACAGCTTCATTTCTGAAAACTCGATCTATGGAGAAGTACCTTTTTGGGGTAAACGATTGCTGTTTTGCATGCTATCAAGAAAAACAAAATGATTAACAAAACATCTACCACATTTAAGTTAAAAAGATGGCTAATTTCACATAACAAAATATCCCAATATTATAATAAACCTAGAATATATAAGTTGAGAATACTCCAGAACAATGATCATGTTCATAATAATTTAGAAGTAGATCGTGGCACACTCATTTTTGTAAGCTGCAAGATTTGATCTTAAGGATGTGTTTGGTAAGAGGGTAAAGGGGTGGAAACATTAGCCTTGCAACTTTTCACCTACTTTCCTTTTGTTTGGAACAAAAATTTTGAGGGGAAAAATTAAAGAGTGAAAAGTTAACCTCAAAGCATGGAGGGTAATTTTTTCAAACACAAGTCCTATCTTCTTTCTCTTTCACCAATTTTTAATCATTAATCCATTTTTAAGTGTAGGCCCTGTCAATATTATTTACAAATCCATTTTATCAAGTATGGATCCCACTAACATCCTTTATATACACCATTCACATTTAACTACTACCAAAACACTAATAAAACTTCCCATTCAATAACTTTTTACATCCTTAACACATCATCCATAAATTTTATTCCCTTAACATTTTCCCTCCAAATTTTTACCCCATGCCAAAAGCAACCTAAGAGAAGAAAAGAAGAAAAAGAGGCAAGACACCAAGACTGAAACTTCTATGTTTGCCTTCATAAAATCAGTGTCAAATAATTGATGACACCAGTTTGGCTCCCTCAGGAATTGCATTTGCATAAAACAATGTAGAGAGGTAAACTAGATCAGAGCACAAAAGAAAGAAAGCATAACATAATAACAAATGCATGAGCACAAGAGAGTAGTTTCCACAAAGTAAAAAAGATGGATAGGCAATGAGAAACGTAGAATGCATTAATACCTGTGCTAGTGCATAAAGCATCCGAGAAGAAATTGCAGTCGTATGAGTTCGCAAAAGGTTTTTGTTTGCTTCTTCTCTTTTCCAATCATATCCATATCTGACAGTGGAGCATGGGTATTTCATAGTTGTGAGAAAAGAAATTCATGTGATAGTGAAAAAATAGATTGAAAGAGGAAACATCATACCCCCTTGACCCATAGCCACCAGCCTCATGAACACGCTTCACCAGCTCAACATAATCTTCAGGCAGCTGCTTTGTTGTTTCAGGAGCTACACATTTATATGCCAAATAGCTTTCAGAACCAAACCAGATATAACAGAGTTACTAATAAGAAATCAAGTTAAACAGACCTTTAAGAAAGAAGGTATCATGCGAATCACGGGCAGGATGTTGTTGTGGCTGGAACAGTACATCAAAATTCCAGAAGCTGCAAGTTGAAATGGGAATGCATCAGAACGTTAAAAATAATATGATGACGGGAATAATTACTGCTATCACATCAAAAAAGAATACAGGAGAAAATTGAGGAAACCATATTTTTTAGCTTAATAGATCTAAAGAAGAACAAATAAGTTGTGACCTAACCATCTCAATTACTTTCCATCAAGCATACACTTTCTGCTAAAATTACCTTCTTCTAAATGGAACCAATTTTCCGTAATTACAACATCACTACAGAATTAATTTTCTTTAGTATGAATAATATGAGAGAATAATATGAGAATCCCATATAAGAACATTTAACAATAAACGAGAAGATGTACAAATCATCAAAAATATGTAGAAAGGCAAGGCATCATCTTGTGAACTGCATAGTTAGATTTAGTTTGATGACGTAAAGGCTAAAGAATTGACGATTAAAAAAAAAGGGAATCGTGCTGTTTATAAAGAAAGAGCAGAAACAGCTACCTGCTCTCAACATATCTATTCGTAGGCATTTCCTCAAAGCTGCAGCAAATAGAAGAGAAATCAACAAATGTCAAACTAAAAAGGACCACTGAAAGTAAAATCAGAATAAAGGAGCAGGTCTTACTTCATTAAACGAAATATGTCCTTCAGTCGTTCTTTCACCTAAAATAGAAAGACAACAAAAAGGAATGCTTAGATGAGCATTTGCAGCACTGTAGCAAAGGTTTTATCACGTGCTTAGGGAAAAATAAACTCTATGGCATCAAACAGATCTAAAGGAAACTGAAAATTGCCAGACACCACAAAGCAAGCCGACTTCCAAAAATAACAGAACCATCACAAAATTCTTCCAGTTCTGTTTCTATGAATGCATACATAAGGTTGATACATTATTCCTTCAACTGAAATTCAGTCCCAGTGCCTTTTGAGAATTGGATTGGCAAATCTTGTAATAGTGGCTATTGTTTAGATCTGTATAAGCTATGCAAACAGTATTCAACCTTTTATTTGACAAGCAAGAATTAAACTGATGTGAACCCAAGTCTCAACAATCAACTCAGATATAAAACTTGAGATCTGAAACATGAGAAGGTTTAGCCCGGTTATGTGCAAATTTCAGCATTGGGCTTATGAACAATGCTGAATCCCAAGCGCACCCACCCAAACTTCAAGCCTAATTATAATAAAATTATGAGCAAGTAATGCTGTATATGACGGCAACCTTTCAACTCAAAATGACAAGATAATGAAAATGGTAGTCTCAATCAGTCTAGAAACTCAATCCAACATTTATTTACAACACAAACTGTTGTTAGTATCAATGCACCAATCAAATTACTCTCTAGAACAAATACTTCGTTTTCCTTGAATTTAGGGTGTTGCAATTCCCACACCAATAAGTCTCTTCACATAATCATTTTCAAAAAATGATATCCTTCAATATAGTGACAAACAAATAGTTGTTTGAAAATTAAAAGACAAATTTCTCCTCACTGAAAATGACACTATGAAAAGAAATTTTGGTGTGTATATAGCAACACCAATTCTATAATTGGCTGCCCTGCAAATTGTATAGAAATTAAGAGTCTAAGATTCACTTATGAGAGGAAAAAAGGTTAAAAAAAGAATAATGTTATTCTTGCCTTGTTGAGTGGGTGAAGATGGCCACTTTCAGATGGTGGACCTTTGGCACTGAAGTTATACTCTTTGAACTCTATATTCCTCCAATCACCCCTAAAGATCAGATAAATTTGTCAACAAGACAAACTACATAGAGCAATTAGAACCAATAAATATGCATAACCAGGCGAACAGTCACTCAACACTGCCCCAATATGGTATCAATATTATGAACGATAAACCCTTACTCCAGTTTATGTCAATATTTACATAATATAAAGAAATCGTAAGAAGTTCCATGCCACAGCAAGAAAAGAAATGAACTAGGTGCATCCAGAAACACTTCATGAACGCAATCAGAGATGTGAAAATTAGTTAAATCATGCTTAATTATTACGATGTTCCTACGCATATCCTGTATCACAAGTGCATCCTATAGATGGTATGCATTTTCATCATGTGCTCACAACCATAGCACTTGCTATAACCCCTTACCATTTTGCCTTCATCATTGACCCAAAATTGTTCACTAACATACCCCGCAATTCATAGTTGAGGCCAACTATTGGTGTCAAAAGCTCCACCAAACACAGGCTTGCTTTAGCTTAATGAGTTATGAAATAACTACGCAAATAGCTGCTAACAATTCAGATTGACAATAATCACTGTATCTGCATGTCCAAGTGCATATAAGAGCATACCCCTGTAGATATTCTCGAGTCAAATCAGTGGCAGTTCTCCTTCTTATTGGAGCATAATCAGGACCTCTTCTCACTGAGTAGCCCTTCCAGGTTCTAGAGGACAAGTCACGAGTTGTAGATACCAACATCACTAATAAAAAAGTTCCAATCTTGTACTACAGGCAATAAGAGGACCAACATAAATAACACAAGAAGCAAAATAAGAGATCATTACTGAATAGCAATAAGCTTTCTTGCTTTAAGAGAGTTCTTATCTTCAGTGCCAATTTCCTGATCACAAATAAATAACCATAATTGAATAAAGAGACAGAATTGAGATAAAATCATGCATATTGGATTTAGTAAACAAGAATAATGAGCAGCTTATAAATTAAACATGAAAATAATGGATATAAAGCGTCCATACATGGATGAAATAGGGGCCTCCCACAACCCCCTTAAGAGAGGGTCCCTTCTTAACCATAAATCATACCCAAGAAAACAATGCCTATCTCGCCTTCTGTTTAATTTGATGCATTTGAAAGCATATGAGATAATAAAATACATCAAATGCAATAATGCACCTGCCCATCTCGTATCCGTAAAAGAAGATCCTTTATCCTGTCTTCCACATGTTGAACCTATGACATAGAATAAAACGAATTATTATTACAAAAGAACAATATGTAAGGCAAAATAAAGGCCAAAGGTGGAGACTAGGTTCTTCTGAAACCATAAAACCCAGTTCAAGAGATATAGGATACTGGGTGTAGACATGGAGTCCTGAAAGAAAGAAGAGGCCTCTTGTTGAGATTTGAAGTTGGAAACTTTTTTTGGGGTATTTATACGTCTAAGCTTAATTTTTAATTTAACCAGGAAAATATTTTCCTTCATAAAAATAGAATAATTAAATTAACTATACCCAAAAAAAAAAAAAAAAACCATTGTCGCCGTGGACTAATCACAAGGACAATTTTACACAAATTTTACGGGAAAAAAAAATCAAAATTCCGTTACCTTCCTAGATATCTGGTTTCCCATTTGCACCCATTTATTCTTTGCAGCCTGAGAACACCCTATTTTGAAAACCGCAGGATCCACCAGTTTCTGCATTAATAAATGCAAAAGCCAAAAATCAAATACAGCACTGTAAAACTAAAATCATAAACAGAATTAAAAAAGAGCAATCAATTATAACAACCTGCAATTCTTCTTTCGATATGCTACCCTCCTCTGGTACAGCCAAGAAAAGTCGAACTTCAGGTGATCCTTGTTCAGCATATTTTTCACCCTCTTCAGTAAGCACCCATGTATCTCTCTTGATATCCTACACAAAATGATCAAATCCCAAATTAATCAACCAATTCATCACTATTAACAGTCATAACCACACTAATCCTTTTTGTTATTGTCAAATTCAAATCCCTCAAAACCACATTAGTTTCCAACTTCTCTAGTCTACAACTACTGTATTAGTGTTAAAAAAAATTAAAATTGAAAACCTTAGATAAATCTAATTTTAGGAACCTTAGCGATGATGTAGCGGAAACCATGGAGACTTTTGATGACATTAACGACTTCGCTGTGATCGAGTCCATGATCAATAGCGAACTGGCCGGAATCGGAGATTTCTTCTTCCTCGTCGTTCTTTAAGTAACCTAAAATCGCTTCCTCTGCCATTATTGCTGCTTCTATTTTTCTGTTATATTTTGGGGTTTTTGAGGGGCTTGGAATTTTTATTAACGCACAGCTGCAACGATAAAGAGAGTGGGCTTTGTAAGTTTTGTTTTGGGCCTTTCTGAGAGGTCCGCTGATTGGTTTTCACTCTTACTTTTTCATTAATTTAATTTCCGAGTTAATTATTCGAGAGATTCTCTCTCTTTTTTTTAACTCTGTTTTTCTATTTTTTTTCCTTCTTAATTTCTTTTTTTCAGGCTAAGAGTGTTAAATCACGTAGTTAGTTCATAGGATTATGACAAGTCTTCAATTTTTTTTCAATTTTAAATAAATAATTTTTGAAAAATAATTAAAAAAATCTCAAATAAATACCTCAAATTAGATCCAATTCAGCCTGATTCAGCTCTAATTTTCTTTTCTTTTTGCTGATCCATTGATCGACATTCACCCCCTCTTCGTTGTATTGATCCCTTAATTGACATTTACTCCGTCTATTCTCAACCCTTTCTTTTTTCCTCTCTCATTTATCACTTCTTTTTTTTCTTCTCACCCCATTCTTTCCTTTTTTTCTCTATCTTATCATACTTTCTTCTCCTCTGTTATCAATTCAATGGCTTCTCCAAGTTCGTCGAGTGAGTTAAAAACTGAAACAAGTATGCCTATATGTACTGAATTGCTTTAAAAATCAGAATATGATTACAAAAAAAGGTTCTTCACTCTATAATCGTAGAAAATAAGTCTCAAAATAAATATGCTAGTACAACAAATAATTAAAGGAATGATCGTGATTTCTATAAATAGTATGAACTATTTATATTGGATAGAGTAAGAGATATGATTTTAAAGATAAAAAGATAAATAGTAAAAATTATTTGTAAAAAAAAAAAACAAATTTGATATTGAAATTGTAAAATTAAAAGTTGAGAATCGAGAATTGAAGATCAATTGATACACCTATTTATAAAAATTACAACACTTATAGATGAGAAGAACTATGTTGAAAGAAGTTAATGTTTTAAGAAAAAAAAAATTGAAAGACAACATAGAGGAATGTAAAATTTTTTTGCTTAGATACAAAATGGAAATTCTATTATGCTTGATGTCTTTTGTTATTTTATTGATGTATGATTAGAGAGAGATGCAAGTTTATTTAATTTTAGATACAACGATATATACATGTATAAGTTGTATTCTTATCCGCTTTTATCTTGCCACCATTAGCTTTTGTCTCACCGTTATTTTACAATCACTTATTGGCTTGTTAATATATTTAGTGTGGATTGCATTGCTATCTTTGATACAATGGCAAGAATGAATACAACATCATTTATTTAAATGAGCATCGAAGTTGTTTGTCAGATAACCATCAATAGTGTTCGGTTTATTGGCACCACTTGAAGGTTCTTCTCCTCTTGGCCAAACCACCCTAGAACTAGGCGTAGGGGTCTTAGCTCGAGTTCATTGGCTAGAAGCTGATTTTTTAGCCAAAACCTTACTACCACTCCACCTTATAGTCTTTAGATGTCGCTCCACCTTCAAAGACAACTTAATAACAATCTGAAAAAAGGTAATTTTACTGTAACTGTATAACATTCGTAATCTTGAGTTTCATTCAAAAATACCTCAACCTCGTTCTAATAGTTTTCACAAATCTGTTTCTAACTTAAAAAATTTCTTTCAATCCAATTTAAATGGTCTTAAATTTAATTTAAATTTTCAAAATAAAAACATATCTTGGTTTCGATCTTCATTTTTTGGCCATGAATGAATATTTCATCGACATCAATCAATTAAAATCACTCATTGGACATGCCTGACACCTTTTGTGATCAAAATAGTTGCCGGAAAAGCCATTGTCGTTCTATTCTCTCTCTTGCCTTCCTTCTCTGGAAATAGAATTGGGGACCAAGCGTTGAGACAAATGAATATCAAGGACCAGTATAAACAAACATCAAATGCCAAAGACTAAATCGAATATATATTTTCAAAAGAAAATTACTTAAATTGTTTGATAAAAAGACGTCGTTTCATGCTAAAATAACTCAAAACTCCGTTATTTTGATTATGATGAATAATGTAAAACAATATCCAATCTACAATAATAGTGAATCTAAAACCACGATGCAGCTGCAGTAAAAAAACCATGCTTTTTAAGTTTCGTTTGTATTATAAACAACATATGACAATAATAATTAAAGTTAAAACTATATTTCATAACAAATGGTCCAATATATATATATATTAAGAATGAAGATGCTACAAGTTAAAATTAATACCTTAAAATGATTATTTCAAGAGATAGGCCTAGTACCAAGAAGATTTTCTTTACTTTTTAACTTTTTGAGTTCGGATATGAAGCCACCACAAAAGATAATTTATTTCCGTTAATACAATAGACTAACGTGAGGGTGTGTTTTTTCAAGAATTTTTTTTTTTATTGACACACAAATTGATTAGAGAATACCTATAACTTTAAAATAAATAAATTATGTGTTAAAAATAATGGAAACGGATTTAAAAATAACCTTTTGATTTAATCAAATATTCTATTATTTGGGAAAAAAAAAAAAAAAGAGAACACTCCTAACAATTAGCAAAAACAATACGAAACCGACTCTGAGCTTTACAAATTTCATCAGTGGAATTTGGAAAACTAGGGTTTAATAGTAAAAAGATTACCCCAAGCTCAAGTTGACTGGGTTTTGGAGATGCAAATTTTACATCTTTTGAAGCGATAAGGGACGTATTGCCAAGGTTTTTTCACCTTATGAGCGTCTTGGAAGCGATAAACAATAGAGTTACAAACCGAAAGCAATCGATTAGAAAGAGGGTATGGTTTGGGATAATGGAAGACATGTGCAATCTGGTGAACCAGTATGCATGATTGAATATCCCGTTCTCCAACAAATGGGGAAAAAAATCAAAGCTATTCAGCTATTGAAAGAAGTCCAATGGTCCAGACTACCTAGTTCACACATTTCTCGTCTAGCTTTGCACTAAGGAGTCGTAATTTCTTGGGGATTGTTCCTACGAGAGGAGAAGAGGTATATCTTTAGAGTCATTGTTTCTGATAATCCTAACATTGATGATAAAGCAAATCTGGCAATCACTATTGATTTCCTGCAACCTAATGGTCCAATTCAATACACTAAGGTTCCAAAGATCGACTAAAAAATGAAGTTCAAATAGGATTATCATGCTTTCCATTCATTCTCATAAAATCACAAGTTCTACAAATATAAGAGTTCAAAGTTGCATTTCATGTCCTTTATCTGACATGTTACAGTTTAATATGTTGCAGAAGCAGTGAATGTGATGAAAAACATTACCAAATCACAAAAGCTTGGAATGCAAATATCTTCTAGACCCATATACAGATCTCTTTATTTTTTCATGCAAAAATCTGTTTCCCAACTAGCGAAAGAACATTTTAACGATAAAGGCTCTCAGATCTGAGGTTCTCTGCAATCTCAGATTCCCAACGGTCTCCATTCTCAAGTAGCTTTTCTTTGTCGTACAAGAGCTCCTGCAGCAATAATAAATTTTAAGAATAACTTCCATTGCTAGTCAAAGTAGACTCATGGTGAAAGGGATACAACCTCGTGAGTCTCTGTTGCAAATTCGAAGTTGGGTCCTTCAACAATGGCATCAACAGGGCATGCCTCTTGGCAAAATCCACAGTAGATGCATTTTGTCATGTCAATGTCATACCTGTTTAATCCAGAGTCGTGAGAAAGGATGAGATGAGGGAACGGAAGGAGAAAAAAAACACAATAGAGAAACAATGATAAACCTCTCACCTAGTAGTCCTACGGCTTCCATCTTCTCGCTCCTCAGCCTCTATTGTGATTGCTTGTGCAGGACAAATCTGGCAACCAACTAGGTTTCATGAGAAAAGCTCTAAATGTAACTAACAAGACCATGTGCAACAGAGGGTATAGATGGAAAAGACTGACCCTGCTGCTTTCTCAGATAAAACAGAAATTGGGATCTACCAAAATATTACCCAGGACGAAAAAGCATACACCGAACACAAAAAAGTAAACATAAAACAGTATTACAAATTGAGAAGCTAGCAGCAAATTTTACACTAGTAATATATATATATATATATATCATAGGATGAGTGCTAATTATGGGATGATAGGAAGCTGTCAACTTGGAATTTCACTACTAGAAACGATCAAATAATTGAATTCCAGATAATATAAACCTAGAAATTAATGCGGAAAGAACAACCAAAAAATACAGTGCAGGCAGACATATAAAAGGTAAGACAGCCTATATATTGCAGTAGCATTTCTGAAAACTTCAAGTGGAATTGCAAAGATATGACAACATGGTATAATTTGATTATCTGCAACCTAAAGAGTGATTTAACTAGGGGCCTGATGTAATATGAGAATTTGAAACTAACAGTGTAAATTACCTTTCCTTAATCGTTTCACACAACAAACATAATTGTTTAAGAAAATATAATGAACCTCAAAGCCTTACAGCTTCACAGAGTTTGCAGGCAATACAACGTTCCTCCCCAGTAGGATATCGTCGGAGTGCATGCTCACCACGAAAACGAGGGCTCAAAGGACCTTTCTCGAATGGATAATTGATCTGCACAAGCGAAGATATTCTGGCTATCACCACTCACCATTTTCACACTATAATATCTAACTGAGTATGGTGAAACTTACAGTAACTTTTTTCTCAAAGAAGTACTTGAGAGTCAATGACAAACCCCGAACCATTTCAGTAAGAAACAGTGTGTTTATGCTTCGCTCAAATACTGTAATTACTCAGAGCATTAGGACCTCTTGTTATATAAAAAAAATGACATTAAACTGAATTCAAACACAAACTTCAAGGATGTATACATTACCAGAACTCCAGTCCTTTGAAATCTCCCTTGCAAGCTCCTCTTTTTCTTCATCTTCTACAGTAATAAATAAGAAAAATTACATGAACAATAAATAACTGAAACAAAGCATAAACACACTCTAAGAACAAGAAAGGTCTCCATAAAGATTTAGGCAATTATTTCTGGACTAGAATTTCTATATGTTCTTTGAAGAATAAATAACTGCTTGTCATCCTCCAAAGGAGATTCTAAAAGATGAACTCAAAGCACTCTCCTCTCAAATAATTTCAGCATGTCAAGTAATAAATTTTAACATAAAAGATTTACAGTCTTTGCTTTGTGAGCATCACTGATAAAACTCGATAACATTTTTTGCTAGTTCATGTCCACACACAAATAGTATATCTGAAAATGAATAAGGTAGAGAGAACAACGCAAACCTTTTTTGGTGGAATATAAATGGGCACTAGATCTCAGTGAATATTGATTTGAAACATGCAATGTTTGTCCTGCTACAGCCTACACACCCATAAAAGAACAACAAAGTAATATTGCTATAAGCTAACTACCATATTCAGATTCATAAATCAATCATGCAAAATATAAACTGTCAAAGCCAATACCAACAGCATTAACCAAATCCAAACAACTATTCCGAAATATAACCAATATTTGCTCTCTCGAACACCTAAAAAAGTTTGCATTCTTTCTTTCATTTCAATGCATGCACAAATAATTACAACCTTAAGTTTCAGCATCTTACAGTAAAAGCACAAACTAAAAATTGAAAAAAAAAATGTTGGTTTCTACCACCACAACAGTATGTCATCTTGGCATCGTAATGACGATTCCCCGTAAAATACCGTATCTGCTTCTACAAATTCAGTAAAGATTGAAAAAAACCAGCAAATCTATTTAACCTAAATCAATTTGCTTCACCTCTATTTATTGATGGAAAGGAATTAAATTTCTATAATTTATTTATAATCCTGACTTATTAACCGAATAACCTAAATCAACGCATTTCACTTTATATTACCATTTAAAAAAAATTGAGATTAAACTTTAAGATATGAAATAAAGAGGAAATGACGATTAGATACAATTCACAGCTATTGATAAGTTTTAAGAATCAAATATGCAACCAAACAGAAAGAGGTAGCTAGGGCAACAAGATTCTTACAAGCTGACGAGCGCGAAGAGCAGAAAGAGACTTGCGAGCTAAGATCGCAGCCATTGATAAAAGCAAAAACGATTTTTCGAGGTCGTCTTCTTGCTCTTCCGGTGCGATTTGTGAAGTTAGCAACGAACTGAAACAAAACAAAACCACCTTATAAATTGGAGGATTTAATTCACGTCATTTTATTCACCTTTTCACTTGAGGACACGTCAGTTCTTTTTCACTCAAAACGCTCCGTTTTTTGAAATTTCCAAACGCTGCGTTTTGTCCTCAATAAAAGTAGGCTCGGCCTTTAAACTCTCGCTATGCAGTAGGGTTTAAGCTGTAACTCGCTCATTTTGTCGATCTTGAGTCAGAAACTTAACTCACTCTGCTTCTCTATCGGGAAAAGAACAAAATGGCGTCGTTTTGCAGATCGGCGATAACGGCAAGCTCAAGGTCTCTGGCATCTCGATCCAAAACAGTAACTCAGAAAACACTAAACGCAAAATCCATGTCTTCTCCTTTCACTTCAACACCAACACCAACACGAACTATCCTTGTCACTTCAAGGTACTAAAAATATTCCTCTTCTCGATTCAAGTTAGGATTTTTTTTATATGTTTCTTGATGTTTTTTTTTTAAATTTAATGTTTTGTAATTGCTTTTGAATTGTAGGGTTGTTTCAGTTTTAGGGAGTGTGGAGTCATTGATGCCACTTCACAGTGCAATTTCAAATGCTAGACTCAAATCTAACATCGCTGTTGATTCTTCTTGCTGGAGCTGGCTCTCTCAAGGTGAGTTATTTTTATTTCTCAAGTTTTTATCTTCTTCTTTTTTAATGTTTTTATTTTGGTTTCCTTTATTATTAATTTTATCATATTGAGAATACTAAGTATCGTCAGTATGTCATTTGTCAATTATATGTTGGGGCCCCACATGTTCGTGCACCGTGAGGGTTGCATAGTTGTTAGGTGCCTTCTTCAGAGAAGGCACCGGATGGCGTTGAACCGGACTTTTCGATGTCTTTGGAAGAATTTACCTTATCATTAACTTAACTATTATGTTTTTAATTAACATTGGTATATTTGTTGCTTGATGTGTAGTGGGAAATGGATTTTGTAGAAACTGATGTGGGATATTTTATGCTTATGCAGTCCTTGGTCTTGCAAGCATTTATCACAATTTTTGTCTCTCTTATTATATCTACAAATAAAGTCAGATTGTGCAGAAATGATTTTTTTTGCTGGTTTTCAAGTGTTGCACCATTTGATCAATTTGGAATACAATTCTTTTTAATGGGTTTTATTTTGGTAGAGTTCTTTAGTACTTTTTCTCCCAATATATTATTCTGCATTGATGGTTGCTTCTGACTTGGTTCCTCTACTACATTGCAATAGGACTTGCTACACCGTTGTGACATAGAGTGCTGGGATGATAAATTTGAAAGGAAATTGAATTCTTTTAAGTCTTCAACTTTGTTTCTTTGTAATATTCCAGCACATGCAAACTTGTTTTGGCTAAAATACTTTTATTTTGGCCTTTCCTTTCCCTCCACAGCAAAGAGAATGGATGACTTAGAGTTGTCATTGGTTGCTAGTTTGTTTTAAGGATTCTTTGAGTTATAATATTCTGTACCAGTTAATGTAGTATGAAAAAGGGGTCTGGTAATGCCATTCATTAAGTTGAATGTTTAAAGTCCTTAAAGCAGAACTGTCCTCAATCAGGACTTTCTGTAATCATATTATCTGGCTTCAGTTATCATTGGTTTTTTTTTTTTTTTTAATCGTATGATCTAGCTTCAGTTATCATTCGAGGGTTATTGTACTGTGCAAAGGTCTCTTAAAGTGAAGATGAAATGAATTTGAAATAAGAATCCATAGTTGAGCAAGTAAAAGACGAAAAGTCAAGCTTCTGCCAACTTTGCATAACTTCGTTATTGCTTGTTTTCTATATAGCAGGGCCTGATTATTTGCGGCATTGTAATCTATCAACCGTATCTTTAAAACTACTCCTTGTATATTTTAGTCGTTTGTTTTTCCATCAGATCCCTGGTGTGTAAAATAGAGATGCCTGGATTAGGCTGCCCTTTTCAGACACTTGAATTTTATATCCAAATGCTTCGTATGTTGTGGTTCTGCTGTGGCGGCTGCAGCATACAACTCATGCTTGCGTGTAGGAATTATAGCAGTGTTAGTCATCCTTAGTTCTCGTCTCCCAAATAATATAAATTAAGTCATTAGATGAAGGCTGAAAATGGGGGGCGGCACGGATGATTTTTTCATCCTAATAGAGTCCTATGTTAAATTCTTGTTGTCATGTTCCCCTCTCTATTTGCCCAATTAACTTATAGTCTTCCTATCTGTGCTCCACTTTTGTTTTCCCAACATGTTTTAAGCTTCTTGTTGTTGAACAAATTCCTTTTCATTCTTACATTTCTCCAGCTACTGAGTTTCTTCTATTCTTTTTTCACTGGCATTTCCTAGATTTTGCGGTTCCTCGGTGACAAGACTTGGGTCATTTCAAACTAAATTGGGTTGCATTTGAGCCGTTTTCTTCCCCTTATGTTGGTTGTTCCTCTTTGCCTTCTCATTTGAATCCAAGGCTATTGCTTGATGTAAGTCATTTCTTAACCAGGATCATTTGCTTCTGTGGTTGATGTAACACTAATGGTGTTACCATCTCTCGTAAAACAGAGGTTTAGTTTTCTTATGCCTGAGTAGCACCTATTCACCTCTTTCTATGCTTGAGCTGGCTTGATTGGAGCAATTAATGTTCTGAATCTGATGCATGTTCACCCTCCCATGTTTACTTGGCACACAAGTGGGTACGTGATCCTCCCTTGTAAAAACGTAGTTTAAACTTGAAAGTTTGACTATCAACTGAAAACAGGGCCTTAGGAAATGTGATTTTGGTTTTCAGCCTAGGATGGTATTGTTACGAGGGGGGACCAATATCATGGGTTGATAGCTGAAATGAAGATGATGATGGGTGTAAAGATCCCAAGCACGTGTCTCCCTCGTTCCTGTCTCCGTTTCTTCCCTTCTTCATTTGTTTGGATGTGCGTTGTTAACCAAAAATAACATGAATTGGTTGTGCTTGACTTGTGTACAAAACACTAGATGAGTCATCGGACGCACATTCCCAAAAAAATCGATGACGAAGATCAGCATCATACCAAAACATATTGGTTAACCATTGTTCTTCAGCTCTTTGGAAGAAGCTGTATGACGCTCGTATTTTCAAGGGCTTTCTCACCTACTAGAATTGGAACCCCTGTCAAAACGTGTAGGCCCGTAGTTGTAATGGAGAAATCGAGATTTTTGTTGGAGTTACATAGGATTGTGATCTGATGACTACCATCTAACATCCATCCCATGAGACAGCTAGGTGTGGTGGCCCTTGACCAATAAGTATAGCTAGTAACTAATAGTATTGATTTATCATTTCATGTTTTGTTGGCCCTTTCACCCTTTTTTTTCCCTTAAAGGATGCATGACCTTTATTCTCACAAATGGGCGTAATTTATTTGCTTATATAGACGTAATTTATTAGAAGTCTGTTTAAATGTCCGGCATCTGTCTCACGAGGGTTGATGTTCAAGAGTTATTTCACATGCACCACAAATTTCACACATATTTTGGTCTAGGATGCATGAATTTGTCAAAATCATGGATCGTCATTTTATAATTGAACTGGATGGAAAAACGTGTTTTGAAACGGGTAATCTTGGAAATCGAAACTTGTTTTCTACGCTTTACACGTCGCTGCCAATGAAGGAATTGGATAGCATTTCTTAGTCAGGAGGCGTTGCACGATAGGAAACATGGAGTTCTTTTCCAATCCATCGATCGTCAGCCACAAATAGCATCTCAATTTTGTGATGAGTTCTTTTATAACCTTGTCATACCAATTGGTGAATGATGCTCCCAATTAAGAATCAAGAATACTACCAGAAATTAGAAATTTCTCTTAAAACGATTAGGTGTTGGCTAAAGTAACGAGTTTGTTTACCACGCCATCCCCTCCAATTCGAACTCTTAGCGAAAAACATGATTGACCTAAACCTGATCTCGCTTGATTTTGGTAGCGTGAAAGTTGCCTTGAAGGTAAAAGGTTCATCCAAGATTTTTGGAGGATCGAGTTTACGAGCAATGATTGCCATGCGTTCCAATCAACTTTTTGCCAGCTACCTCTTGCAACCTTATCATGCAAGGGAATTGCCATGTTAAAGATGGATATAAAGCAGAAGATAAGAAATTGTTTTCGCAAGCATGCAAGTTCTGTTTCTCCATGTTGTGCTTCACGTGAAATGCTTAGGTGGTAAGGTATCAAACTGTTATCTAGAGAGTAGAGTAGCTCGAGGATGCTAATTGATTTATTTGGTATCCATTAAAGCTATCTAAAATCATATTTCTCACACTTGCAATGTAAGAAAAGAAACTTAAAGAAAACGTGAGAGTATTATGAAATTTTATGCACTAATTTTGGTATGATGTCTTGACTAGAATTCAACTGAGAAGATATGTGGTTCGAATAGACAAAAACTTATCGCGCATAAGATGTTGGTTTTCTTTGAAAAAAAAAATGTTTGGAAAGACGAAGAATATGGAATAAGAACAGGCATGCCACTCAATGAAGAGTTCTCTTACAAGTAAATTATGAGAAATTTTAAAATATTTTAGGAATAACTACTATTAATTGTTTTATAAATTCATTTTTGAAAAAAAACAAAGATAGACATAAAAAAAAATTACATTCGAATGTATATATAAAAAATAATAAGAAAATTTTCATATTAAATCAATTTTTTTTCTTTTTTTTCTTTTTATATTTTCTCTTATGAAATAATTTACGTTAACTCTTCTAATATAAAATTCTTCATAAACTACTGACTGTTCAACAATCATGATTATACAAGTACCAATAGCCGTTAAAATCTTTTTTATCTTATTGGATCAATAAGATAAAAACTTTTAAAGATATCATGAGCCATTTATCTTAGGAAATTTTAAGATGAGTCTCGTTAATCGAATAATCCCGGGGTATTAAAGGATATTAAAAAAAAAAAAACCGATAAAATCTGAAGATAAAGGCAAAAATTCTCGCATTATCCTTGGAGTCGAAGATTTGAAATCTGTAGCAAATAAAATGAGTACGCACAACCCTTTCCATTACGTCGGCCTTGTGAGCGTACCTGCTTTCTCTCTCCTTGGATAAGATCCGAAGAATATCAGATACAGGGTGACCCCACTCCTCCTCTAACAATATGACAACAGCCTTAGAAACACCAAGTTACAACCACCCAGATTTTGCCACTTTGCTACATGGACTGCTCTTTGCTCTCCCTATTTGATCAATCAACTGATAATCTATAAATCAAATCAAAGAACAGCCTTTTTTGTGTTGGCTGAATTTGATCATCTGGATTGGTTCCCCCTTTTTTTCCCCTTATTAACTCCATAAAACAAACTACTCAAACCCAATATTTCCAAGCTTTGCTTCTTGATCAGCTGGTCTTCGCTTTTCAATTTGATCAACAATCAAGTAGTCCAAATCTAAGGCAACCCGTTTTTGTTTGTTGAATTTGGTGAACTGGGTTGTTCTTTATTTTCCATTCCGTTAACTATAGATCAAGTAATTTATAGGAAAATCCAGCTTTGTTTGTGGAAAGTTTAGCTTTTGCATGGCTAGGAGGATTGTTGTTCTCTAGCAAATCAAAAGCTTTGTTGTTGTTATATTGGAGGAGACACAAGTGTTCCTAGAGGGCTCAAATTCGATACCATTGGATTGTGGAGGCCCCTAAGAGAGAGACAAAGATTGGGTCTTGAAGATACTAGTGTGGTGAGTTTTTTTGTCTATTAAACAATTCTTTGATTAGATTTTAGAATTTGTTTTATTTTTTATTGCATGCAGAGAGAGATTTATCTGACATGCATTATTTGTCTTCTATGCTGTCCAGTTTCTTGGAATCTACGATAATTTATTTTTTATTACAGTCTTAAAGAGGTTTGATCTTATTCAGTGAATTGTAGTAAGTGTTCGGTTTTATTTCTCTGGTATAGCTGGTATGGTTTCTCTGTGACTAGTTTGCTATATATTAGGTCTAGATCAGTATGGACAAAGAACGATTAGTTCAGCTGTAGCTATCAGTAGTATTTTCCTTTCTTTTTCGGGGGACTTGTGTAACTTATTGGGTTCCAACATCTAGTCATTTGGACTTTTCTCTGGTTTGTTTTCTTATCTTCTTATCTCTTTATCTTTTTGTTTCTGCAACTTAAGTTGTCCCCACTTAGGTTTTACCTTTCCTTAAATTGCTTTAATTTCTTACAGGAAGTAGAAAGGATTTGTGTATGGTTCTGGTTGGTCTGTTACAGCCTTCTGTCTCAATTCTCAAACGGTTTCATTTATTGTTTAGTTTAGTTTCTTCTCTCCCGTTACTTTTTAGGTGTTCTGTCTCTCTTTGAACTTCTCAAATTTCAATTGGACTTTTATTCTTTGGCTTTTCAATGTCCAAACTTCAACTTATGTTGATTGAATTGCTACGGATTCACTTTTTGGACATGCCTGCAGGTCATTTGTTTGTTCCACCGAAATGAACTTTATGTTAGCAAGCGAATCAAGGTCGAAGATTCATATTGAGGAGGAGGGTTGATTTCTTTATGGTCATGGAGAATTCTTATGAAACTTCTAACGGGAATGGCCCCACAGAAAATGGCCATAAAGTTATTAGGCACAATCCTTATCAACTTAGATCATTACCTTGGCTTGATTTAAGACTTTTCTATGTTCGAGTTAGCAAATGTGAGATTGGGGACTTCACTCCGGAGCACCTTTCTGTGAACCATATTCCATTATATCCTGATACCCTTCTTGAAGTAAATGGTGTTAGAACTTCTATCAACTCTGACGGTGCATCAACCACTCTTAGGAGGGATAGATTGGATAAGAAATCTGAGGAAGCCACATTTGTCAGCACTGATGGTATAAGGATGACAGGGAGTGTGAAGTTTGAGGTTTTTGATAAGGATGTGCTTATATTATCTGGTGCTCTAGAAGCGTGTTGTTGCAATGGTTTTGTAGGGGAATCAAGGAACCATGACCAGAGATGGACCATGAATTGTGAATCAGACATGACTATAGGCACCAGCTTCCTGAAGGCTAAACAATTTGTGGGCCCAGATTCAGAGATGCCTACAATTGAGGTCTATGTTGCAGGATCTTTCTCAGGCACTCCAATTATCTTAACCAAGACTTTGCAGCTCGGTTTTCGGAAGAAGCAAATAAGAAAGGGGATATTAGATTCCATACCAGAATATGAGGCAACTGAAAGCCAGGACAATGCCCCTTCCAGGATTCCTTTAGAGGTATACCTTAATTTCAAGGAAAAGCTATGTGTTTTGCTTTCAGAATATTTAGTTCTTCTCTTTTGTTTTTTGACTCGTTTCTGTCTTTGCAAGTTCTTTAGTCCTTTTCACTCGATTCTAGTCATTACTGGAAGACAAAGATATGATTCTAGCATGTGTTTTTTCAATTACAGAGTAGCACAATTTGTCGCCATTTTGTTTTCTGTGTTATTTTGCCAACATGACCTGTTAAAACAAACTCACATTTGACTTGTTTCTGTCTTTGCAAGTGTGTTTTATTGATGGTAAACATAACATTATGAAAATTACGTGAATACTTGTGAATGAAAGGTATGAATACAAAGCTTTTAATTTAAGTTAATCTCTTTGAAGAGTTATATAGTTTTTTTAGGGGGGTCATCAGTGCAACATTTCTCCATCATATAGCACACAGGTATCTCAGTAAGCTTCAGACATGACCATAGATGATAATTATGTGTAAAGATCTGCTGTTTTTTTTTAGAAAATTTAGTGATTGTTGAAGAATAAAACGGTTGTTTTAAGTTGTTATAGCTTCCTCTGATGACTCGATTCCCAATCCAGAACTAATCAGGCAGCTTCCTTTACTTCGCACTTTTTGGGCATTCCCATGCACAAGAGAGATTCTCGCCATGTTACAACCAGTACAGGTGTTATAACTGCTGTTTGGATATAATTCCTCCATTTTAGTCTGCTATAGTATGGAGCGTGTTGCGAGTGATTCTAGAGATTTTTATGATATGAGCTTGATAGCTTCTAGATTAGTACTTTATCCTCATTTCTTTTAAGTTATGCCCCCAAGCATTCTGCTTTTAATTTACCTTTTGAACTCTGCAGTTATCTGAATACTCAAATCACAAGCCAGAAAATGAAGACTACTGCCCCCTGTACCCAGCAACAGAATTTATGGATGGTGAAGATGGTGAAATGTCATGGTTCAATGCTGGCGTTAGAGTGGGTGTTGGCATTGGCCTAAGCATTTGTGTTGGAATTGGGATAGGCGTGGGCTTGCTGGTTCGAACTTACCAAGGCACCACCCGCAACTTTAGAAGGCGGCTACTATAACTAACGGTTATTGCTAATTCGTGATCGTAGCATTATACCTCCTTTCATTATTCTACTCGCAATCTAAATGCAGCTAACTCTGGGCGTTTCTGACATGTCCTGAATCCCGATTGTGAATAAGGATTTTTCATTATTGCAATTAGATGCTGGTAATACACAAGCTTCATTGGTCTTCTGGGAAGAGGCTAAGCCTTACATTTGAAATAAAAGGGCAATTACATACTGCAACCTTGGAAACTCCACGAAAATTTTCTCAAGTGAATCGCATCTGGAATGGATTTCCTTGTCTCGTCCAGTCTGTTTATGTATTTAATGCAGTGCACTGTGTGTGGCACTGCCGCTTGTGAGTTTGAGAAAGCTTGATTTTTCTTTTTCTTCCTGTAAGACTGTTTATAGCTATGAAATTTTGGTAAAGAACGCAGATTATCCCGTGGCATGTTAATGTCTGAACTTCCTGTCTTTACGTACACATCTTTCTGGTGTTGCATGTCTTCGGTTTACAGGAGTGAATCATTTGTGGCTTACAATTGTACGATCTTTTATCGAGTCACGTTATATATTGGAAATCAAAGAACACATGCAATTTGGACTCGTCTTTCTTCTTCCTTTACCATCACATGAACCCTTTCATTTGATGGACAGGAGCCCAGTGACTGATTTTTTACCAACAAGACTAGCCCAGAGTAGTAACTATTAATTACGAGCATTATTTAATACGACAGAATTATATATTGGAACGAGATACTCCGAAGACCCATCTTTTGCACGCACTGTGATTAACCGAAATAAAGTTAGGATGTGGATGATAAATTATTTAAATAATTTAAAAAATTAAATTACAGAAGTTAATATAAAAAATTTGTTTGATGAAATAATTTTATATTTAAAATTTAAATTTAATCAAAATTAACTTAATTAGTTAAGTTAAAAAAATTTTATTTAGATACTCAAGTTAAAGATTTTAAAAATTTTTTAAATATGATTATATAATTTATGTATATTTTTATAACCTTAATCATACAAATCGTTTGAAAAACAAACTCTACTCTCTCTGTTACTAAAAAAAAAAAAGATACTTATTATTAATGCTTTCATCCCATCGTCATGAATTAAGGCGTCAAGGTCTAGTCCTGCCGCTCGTTCTCACTCACTCTCTCTCTCTCTCTCTCTATATATATATATATATATATATGCTTTTCTTGATTTTCTTTGTTTATAAATAGATTGAAACAAAAAATAGAAGAAAAGATGGAGGCGGGACCACCGAAGAGAGAACTGTACGCAATGCTCCAAGTGTCAATGGAAGCCACCGAGAAAGGCTTCTCTACGTTGGGCTCAAGTTTACCATGACAAGTACCAAGACTCACGTAATGTTTTATTCTTCCGTTTTTTTGAATCTGGTATCTTTTCAGTTTTAAAGAAATTGTTTTAGTTCCGAAAATTATATGGATTACTCAATTTATGGATTACTTCTTACAAGATGTGCATCTCTTGGTTTTCCAAAATAATAAACAATGAGATGTAATTTATTTATACAAACATATCTATTCATATATTTTTATTTATATTAAAAAAATATCATATTACAATTATAAGGTTAAAATTATCATTATCATGTATATAACCTTAATATATTCAATAACATGTATATAGTTTTAATATATTCAATAACAATATTTATTAAACAATCTTATTATATTCAATACTTAATTTTCGAGTAAATATCAAATAACTTATCAACAACATATTCGGTACTCAATTATTCAACACTTAAAATTTAATACTTAATAGATTCAATATTTAATTTTTAATTTTATCAAATAACATCTTAAGTCTCAAAAGCAAACTATTAAGTAAATCCAAATTGCTAAAAAACATCTTCTTGGAAACCACAAGCATGCCTAACCTAGAATCTTTTGTTAGTTAAACACAGGGAGCCAAATGAGAATTTACAAACACGTGTTTGTAATTTTCACAGAAATTTACCAAGCTTTCAACGAGGGCTTTGCATACAGCAATTAACGTTTTAACTGAAATCCTAGAGCACTCATTGGAAAACAGCTAATGATCAAGGCCAATGGTCACTCTAAATTCAAACAATCAAAGTTTAGCGCAGAACGAGAGAGAGAAGCATAGAAACTATTGCCAAACCAAATCAGAGCATTTGTGTGCTAGCGGCAAAGGCAAGAACGATCCATATCATATACATACGGTGGAATTCTATAAATACCAGTCTAATATGTACAGCACTTTACAGAAAGCCTAAGATCTTTGTAAAGAAACAGCATGCCAGGGCAATAGTTCGTCTATCACCACCAATGAACACATCTTTCTAACAATCAGTATCTCCTTGTGGTTGATTTGTTGCGCGACGGAACCAAGTGTTAAAAGCAGCGACCAAATGCGGGCAATCTTCAACATTTCGAGTTGAGAAGCTGAGACACTGCTGCAACAACACTTGTGCATCTGACATGGGCAGTGTGGAAATAATTCTTAGAAATGTCTCTTCAAGCTCCAGGTACAGTGATTTATGACTTGGTAACATAGAAGAAAGTACATTGTCTTTGCATACAGTCAGAACAGGAAGCCAGTACTTTACAAGCTTCATCCTCACCTGCAAGCAAACATTCAAATTAATTAACCATTTGAGTTACTCGTTATGAATTTCACAAGAAAAATGCTTCGTTGAGCCTGTTAAGCACAAATAGGCTCTACGATTATTTGTTTAAACTAACAAGTTCAGCTTTGGAGAAGCCAAAAACAACTCATACTTCATATATACAATCCTCGACAGGTTGCTTATTTTAAAGAATTTGTTGTCAGCAATCACTAGATAATTGAAACCGCTATTCCAAACATAACTGATTCCGAAAGAAAAAACATGTTTCCTTACAGGATGTGAAAGGCTTTTGCAATATCAGTTACAAAACTAAATCGCATACACAGCAATCCGAATGAACATTTCATAAGCAGAGCTCGGGCTGTCAACTAGCTCCACGATCCCAGCTCAATAAATTAGAAATTTTAAAGTGGTACTTCTTATGCAAAAAATGTTTCTCTCGATAGCACTAACTAAAACATCAGGTTTACAGAACAAATATCACTGCGTGCTGAGCAAAATACGATCATTGAGGTCATGCATTGATTTTCAAACAAAAATCCAAATAACTGTAATAAAACATATAACGAAAATCAAAGCCAATACCTGTCTAGCAGCCAAAATGGTCCCAGAAGCAACAGCATTAGCAAGTTTACAAGTGCAACGAAGCACAACAACAGGAAGCCCTGGAACAATATTTCTCCACGCATCATCCCGAAAAGCCCTCTGCAAATCAGCCGTAAACGAAGCTTGCTCACTCCAATCCTTCACCGCACTATCCGCCACTCTCAGCTCAATCATCCTCTCCACCAACCACAACAAATGCCTCCCGTTAGTCATCGCAGTATGCAAATTCAACCTCTGTATTGCCTCCGTCTCATTATGATCCCCTCTAAAATCCGGACTCGAGTACTCCTCAAGTGATTCCTTCACAATCTTCAAACTCGTCTCAAACGCCCTCTCCAAAACCCTCCTCGCCGACTCCCTCGACGAAAAATCCCTCAACAACTTGGCCACAAACGCTTTCACAGTTGCCATATTCGGACTATTATGAATCGCAGCCAATATCAACCCATGAAGCATTTCCTCGCACGAATCATCTCTCGCCGGCGAAACCCTCGTTAATAGTTCTTCAGATTCCTCCTCACGTAGAAATGGAATTAAATTAAGCACGCGCTTCTCTTCCTCTTCACTCCACGGCACGGCCTCAAGATACTTAACACAATAATTCACACATTCATCAAATAAAAACTCTAAGGCCACCGGCAAAATATCGAGAGCCGCCGCGGCAGAGTTAATAATATTAATAAAATCGTTAGTGTAAAGCAACTCTAAGACGGTCAGATGGACTTCGATTGATCCAGGAGCAACGCCTAATTTTAACGGAATCAAATATCGGTCGATTTTATTTTCAGCAGATTCGGAGTTTTCCTTCGCGTGCAGCCATCTGTCGGATAAAAGTGCGGAGAAATACTTGGCGCGGCGGAGGATGGGAGAATGGAGGTAGATCTGGGCATTGGATTGATGATTATTATCAATTGAAGAAACTGAATCAGATAAGTTGATGATGGGAGCAGTGGAGTCCAGGAAGAGGCGGAGGATGACGTCGGCAGTGTTAAGGTCGTTAAAGGAAGTAGCGGTGATCGTGGTGGTGGAGGAGGAGGAGGGTAGGATGGGGTGGGAAGAGGAGGGGATGGTGGAGGAGAGGAGGGGGTGGGAGGAGGCGCGGCGGAGTTTCTTGGAGCTTTCAGAGATGGTTTTGTCGGAGAAGGAATCGATTAAGGCGGCGGTGGTATGGCGATGGTGTGGCAAGCGCTGCCGTTTCTTGGAGGTTGAGGGGATCATTTGGTAGAGAATTTCTGGATTGGGGATTTTTTTTGGGGTGGAATTAGAAAGGACAGGTTGGCAGGGGAAGAATATCAAGAGTTGGTTCTGATGGACAGGTGGCTGCGAGTCTGCGGAGAGTGACTTTGTCCTGTAACAATTGGCGAGTGGAGCAATAGTCGGTTTCGTGTCGTTGGAAATTGCCTCTTCGTAATTTAATTATCAAGAAAAAATTGAATCCAAAATTAAAAAAAGAAAAAGAAAACACCGAAGAACCAGAGGCGCCCCTAGTTTCAAAGAGAAGAGGACGGGTTAAATGGCGACAACGTTAGCTGCGAGATCTCTCTTTGTCCTAAACTGTGGGCTCTTCTTCGTGTAGCGTCCATTGCATAATTAATTAAGATAATTTTGATTAAATTAGCTATGCCAAATCGTAATTTGCAAGTAGAAAGCACATAGGTGGATTACGAAGTTATTTATAAAGATCAACTAGTTAAAAGCTTAAATATAAAATAAAATAATTACTAGAAAAAAAAAAGTTGAATTTATAATTTTTATTTTTTCTGACAAATAAATTCACTTTCTCCTGCAAATAAGAAATTTTGGAGAAATAAGAAATGTTTATTTCCTTTATTATCTGTGAATGATGTGCTCACAACTCTACCTCTGTAGAGTCGGCAGGCCTGTATGTAAATTAAAATTGCATTGTGCCCCTCTCCTATCACTCTCACTATTAAAAAGACAGGTGATTCTTTCTAGCTTCCTGCAGGTATTTTAGTTTTCTTTCTTCGTTTTCTTCTGTTTTGTGGTAACAATAAAAGGCCTTTTCCAAATTAATTTGTCTCTCAAAACCCATAGAAAGTTTTATGGTGAATTTTGAAGACTTGCCTAAAGAACAAGAAAGTAGGAACCCCAGTTCAAGTTTTGTCCGTATGAAGCACAGGTTGGTCAAGAAAAGTCAGAAATTTCTCATCAGGAGTTCGAGGTTCTACCTCTCAACTTCCCAAAGCAACAAGCTACAGGCCAAGTTGCGTCTGCACAAGGACAATCTGGTGATTATGAGAGTGTGGCGGAACCATACAGAAGTGAAACTGCCATTGAAGAGCACGTACGTTTCTGGTGTTTCAAATCATAAGCTGATGAGCGAGAGCCAAAGATTGACAAGCAAAGATGTATCTGATAAGGGATTGTCCGAGTTATATTTTTTTACGAGATTGCTGAGGGAGCTCAAAGAAGAATTGAGTGACAATGGCACCAGTACTAATCACAAGCTCTTGGCTATCGCAGCTCATGCCATCTTAACAGAATTTGGTTTTTATTGGGTTTGATTTTAAATCTGGGATGAAAGTTTCAGTTTCGTCCGCAAAAAGATTTGGCTTCAAACGCATTCACAATGTGGCATACTCTTTCTGAGCTTTTGCATCCTGAAAACACTGTTGCTGAATCCATTCATGTAATTAAATTAAGATCCAGTGTTCAGGAGATTTCATCAATGTGCAAGGATCTCTGACCAAGGATGGTTCAAGATACACACGGAGTGTTTGAATGGCATAAAACAAGGACCAACTACGAATTTGGAGGGAGCAACTTGTGAAAAGAATGATTGGATGAATGACAATAAAAGGAAAGAAATTGGTCTGTTGGGAAAAATCAAGGATGTACTAGCTTTGCCATTGTTGACAGATCTTTGTGAGAAGACCGGTGGCAACTTTCCCTCATGGATGTTTGGAGAAGGGAATGAGTTTTCTCGGCGCTGCTTTATTTATCCACAACCAATGCGTTTAATAACACAGAAAATCCTATAGGATTTTAAACAATCTGCAGACAACTATGCTAACAAGGTAGCCAAAATTTGACATATCAATAGAATAAAAGAACGGAGATTGAAAAATAGTATATAGTATATTGTGCTATATTCTCCAACTCTATTCTTGTTGTTGCTGTGGGACTATAGAAATTCTCTCTTAAAGTTCTTGATCAATAGTTCATAAATTTAAAGTACAAGTAGATGATAACTCATATTGAATTTGGAAGGAAGTGATTTTAAGACTCTAAAATCTTATTCTTTCTTATTCTTTTTTCGGTTTTTTTACCGTGAGAGCAAGCGTGCAAATTAGGACTAATAAAGTTGTGGTTTATGAGAAACATTGATACATTGTCTCTAAGAAATTCATAAGTCATGTTCTTAGTAATTAACATATGAAAGGAAATCAAATAATACCGTCTCTTGTAAGATGATACCCTTAGATGTGCTTCAGCCCCTTCTGGAAATATCGGAAAAGAAAAAAGCCACCGACTTCGATTGATTTCTTCAAGACTGAAACTAAACTATTCGCTCGATATCAAAGCGAGCAAGTTCAGAAGGGCCAGTGACAGTAACCTGCAACCAAATGAACATAAGTTATATGATTACTTGATAGATCAGAAGTTACTTCCCAACTAATAAATTCAGATAAAAAAAAAAAGAATCATGAGCAAAACTGCTATAAAAGTTATTTGAATTTTTGAGTTTCTTCCTCAAAAAATCTATTTAGGCGGACAATGTTAACAAAATTAATTATTAATTTTTTGCCTTAACAGATTAAAAAATTTCATTAACTGTGAGATGAAACAAATACAAATTTTAGTGCAAGTAATTACTGTTTCATCAAAGAATGATAGAAAACAATAATTAATATGACATCAAGATATACATATATAGATTTGAAATATCTTATAGACTGGTATCCAATCAAATTAAACATTAAATATTGCCTCATAATAAGAGTCCAACATACAAATACAATCAAAGTCCAGCATTTCTTACCCTTCATACAAATTCTCATCATCTTATTTAGCAATCTTTTTTCGTACAAAAAAAATTGCTATATTCTGAAAGCAATTACAATAAGAAAAAAATATATATATATATATATATATCACAAAAAGAAAAATGAAGTCCATAATTAGCAAATTCTTCACAATTCAAGCATAATAGAAATTAATTGGTGGATAATGTCTTGGACAAAGCTATAACAGTACCAAAATTAGTATATATAAAAAAAAGCACTTATTAATCAATCAAAACGAAGAACAATCAATGAGAAAGCTAGCTCGATTTTGGATCCTTTAGAGGGTGGCTTTTCAATTATTATGCATAAGGAAAAAAAAAAGAGTTAGATAAGTATACCAGTAGATACAAATACTAAAATAGGAAACAAAATTAAAAGAGAAAAAATTACTAGTAACTAATGATATAGTAAAAAATATATGAGAAATTCATAAAATTTAAAAAACGTGTTAAAAAAATAATATAAATCATATTTTGAGATATCACTTAACGGAGTTAAATTTTTTAATGAGATAATTCTTTATCAAGATATCATAATCTTGATACCAAATGATTCCTCATTTTTTCTTGTGTTAATTAAACACTAGATAATGTTTGAATGAAATGATTCTTCGACAAAATCTAAAGAACTTTTTATATTCATAAATAGCTAAATATCTCTCCATGCAAATAATCATTTTTCCAGCCTTAGAGCTCTTACACTTAGCTAGCCCACATATTTCAGCTTCTAATGAACTTTTTAAGACTGACGGTCAAACGAAAAACTACGATGCCGAATTTGTTGGTCGCCGGAAGCATCCAGATCTCTGTGCTAAAAGAATATGAAAATCAAGAGCATTGCCTTACTTCAGTACCTAACAATCTAAACTTTTCATTATGTAAAGACCTTTTTATGAAAACTGTAATGAAGTGTTGCCACCTCTGATCAAGATCTATTATTATTACAAATTCAAAAGAAAAAAAAAAAAAAAAAACATTGAGTGCTCCATGAAAAAAGAAATTAATGCTCCAAATTTCGATAAAAAGAAAAAGCTGTTTTGGCACGTGGCGGTTCAATCTCAAAGTTAGATGCTCCAAATCAAACAATAGAAAAAACTAAACTACATGAAAATACCATTGAACTTTTATCGAACTCATACATACCTATAATTTTAAAAAATTTTAATTTGATCATTATAACTTATTTTATTGGTAATTAATATATTCTTTCATCGTTTCTCTAACGTTGACTACTCTTCTTATACCAAAATGGTATTCCTATCACCCAAAGGAACCTCCATTCTTGTAGAACACCTAATTCCCACAATAACCCTCTTGCTATTAGCACTTGTAATCTCTGATTCTCTAAACCCACACTTTATGGTTAAAGAAACCAAAATTTGTGCAACATCAATGTCTCTACACTCAACATCAGTAATCAATAGCTCAAACTGGAACACCAACTTGATTCCCAACTCAGTAGGCCACCTAGTTGCTGATTCAGCAGACCCATAAGCTGAATTGGTTGACTCGAAGGAGGACTTGATGGGGAAGAATGAAGAGAAGAGAGTTGGGATCGGCAAGGTCGTGAGATTAAGAGCCAGGATCCTAACTCAACGTGATATCAGATAGTTCTATTATTTTATCAAAAATAATTTATAGTATTCAATGAAAATTTTGAGAGGTTATAGGTTTTTCTAAAGGTTGTAGGTATATATGAGATTGACCAAAATTTAAAGCGTTTCCATGAAATTTCTGCATGCAATTTACTGAATTTTACGAAATAGAGATACTAACTCACGATTCATCATAAAACCATCTCAAATTAGAAAATCTCAGAGAGACATTCAAAATTGATGGAAAAAAAACACCTGTAAATTAAATTATTTTTCATAAATACACATTCTATTATTAATAACCACATAAACTGATTTTATGTGATATTTTGAGTCATTAAAGGATAAGAAAAAAAAACAGTTATAAAGAAGTTGCAGTAGGCCACCTAACCTTCTATATAAATAAATTAAACAACCCCATTATGTAAAAATCACAGACAACTTAATTATAGTCATAAGGAAAAAAAAAAAAAAAAAAGAACCTCTGTTGAAGTATAGGTTGTTTTTGTTACTCATTCGGGCCAAATGCACACGTTAGATCCATTGAATTCACTTTAGCAATGAAAGAAAGAAATTGAATTTGTTACTATTCTTTTTGGTTTTGTTTGCGTTGCTGGTAAGAAAGGACACCGCCCTATTTTCGTATATATTTTATTGAGAAATTTTATTTTACTCTGTAGATAGAGATACACATGAAGAGTAGAAAAAAATAAGTATTTTTATTTTGTTTTGTTTTATTTATTTATTTATTTTTGTAACGAGCTTCCTTGAGAGTGGAAGGAGAGAGAGCATGAAATTTTGTCGGGGTCCAGACTGGAGATTGGTGTGAAACAATTGAAAACGAATCAGGCCTTATGCAGTCTCCACAATCAAACCTCGGCTCAGTCATCTTTATCTGGCCCAAGAAATTTTAAAAGAGTTTGAAAAGGAGAAAATCAATGGACAACTGTTGGACAATAAAGGGTCAATGGTGCATTTGGTCCCTTCACTTCAGTCCCGATTTTGTCTTGGTACTGAATTGTCCTGATTTCATCCTATTAGTTCAATCTGATTTTCATTCGATGCTTCCATTGATGAAGGTATTAAGTTTCATAGTTTTTTTTCTTATCGAGGTAGTTTTGAAACTTTATTGTGAAAATAAGATAGTTTCAATTTTATTTATCAAAGTAAGATATTTATGCTATGCAAGATATACATGTAAGTTTTTTTTAAGTTTTTTTTTCTTTAGTATTTGTTAGCCTTTTATTTCTGCCTAAGAAAGTTGTGATGTCTTTTTTTTTTTTTTCAATTATTAATATATAAAAGGACCCAATTGATCTGTAATTACTTGTAGCTTTATCTCTTTTGAAGATAATGGCCACGATGTTGGAAGAAAAATGAGGGGTTAAAAGAGTTAAGGTAAAAGAGAGGGGTTAAAAGAGTTAAGGTAAATGGAAAGCTAACAGGGCCACATGATTGATCTCAATCTATCTCTACCACCACTCCAGCCAATTATTATTGAGTAGAGTAACACCATGAAAGAACTCTCTTTTATTTTTTAAATATTTGTTGTGTTATGGTATAGTAGCTAGCAGGGGCTAGCTTCTTGCTTCATGATTGAGCTTAGTTTCAATTATGTAAAAACATGCACACTAAATGTTTGAATTTATCCATTATTAATTTTTTAATTGTTTACTTCTTGAATTTAGTTTTAACTATCATTTTGAATTAAGATTGCCAACAATTACATTAATCACCAGATAATAAAGAAATTGGTTAAATTGAAAAAGGAATTCAAATCACTGTGAATTATAACGGGTCAACTCTTGTTTCTTCATATATTATAGAAACTGATGTGTCTATAAAAAAAGTCTTGAGGACAACAGTAATATGAGTTTTTTCTTAAACCAGTTCTAAATATTTTCATATACCATTAATTATATATTTGTCAAGTTGGGCTATCTGGTACAAATTTAACTTTCAACATAAGATCTTGTAAAACCATAAATTTGGCAACATCACCAACTTCACAAACAATTATGACAGGTTCTTTGTAACTCTCACTATGAAAAAAGAAAAAAATTAAATTCCTTGGTAAAGAATACC